GCTCCTGTGCCGAGTCATGCTCCTCCCCTAAGCCCCATCTCTGGTAAGGTGAGCTGCCCTTTGTCCTGCTGGTGTCCCGCTGGGTTAACCCCTCCACACCCTTCCCACCATCCTGCTGCCTTGACTCACCCCTGGAACGTGGGCTGCTGTGGAGGGACCACTGGAACTGGGTCTCCCTGAGCCTGGGGACTGCAGTGGGTAGGAGGACAAGGGGCTGAGGGTGAGAAGTCAGGCCAGTTGGCCACCTGGGTCCAGAGGGTGATTCAGGCCGCAGACTTGGGACTGCCTGTGTGTGTGCCTTTATGTGTGTGCATAGTCCCCAGCTGGGCAGTGACCTACAACAGCCAGAGCCCTTCTGGTGGGGGAGGGAGCAGTGAGTCAGCCTGATGCTAAATCCAGAGCTGAGCTCAGAGCTGGGCCCAGTGTTTCAGACACTTGGGGGGCACCCAGTGTTTTCCCCAATGCCACACCTTGGGCCAGACATTTGGGGTCCCAAATTTGAGCCACTGGAGGGAGGACAGATTTAGAGCTGGTGAAGAACACAGAGTGGACTTGGAATCTGGGCCACCCCGGAACCCAAGTTAACAGCACTGCATGCAGTAATGAATGTATCTGTGTGATTTGCAAACACTTGTCCTCCCACTAACCTGTGTGCCCCGGAACTACTGCATGGTGTGATCCCTGGGGCAGCAAGGGGGAGAGTGATGGCTTGGTGGGGGGCAGCAGGCACAGACCTAGACCCTGCCACTCTTCCTCACTCTGTCCCCCATTCCCTGCCTTCCCTTTCTCTGCTCCGATTCCATTTCTTAAAGAAGTAGGCTCCACTCAGGTGAATATTTGTCATTTTCCCCCATCCTTGGCATTGTGAGCTAACTGTGAAGCTTGAGCCTGTTGCAGATAGCTCTGTGGACAAGATGCAGCTTTAAAACTGCAGCGGCTATCATGCCAGCCAGTGCCTCTGGCACTGCTAATTTGAGCTCAAAATTAGCCATAGACCCTGGTTAAAATTGGAGAGTTCCCCCAAGTGGATCATGTAAATGATTCTGGATGTTTCTAAGGATTTTTTCCCTTAGGAATCAAGGACTTCTTGCCATGCTCCTACCCACATTGTGCTGGGAAGGAGAGGCACGCTGAGGAGGAGGTAGGGTTGGTAACAGGCCTGTCTTTTTCCTGTAGTCCTAGGTGACTCAGGAAAGAGGAGAAATTAAATCCACTAGGACTGCCTGAGCTTTTGGAGGGAGAGATACGGGTGAGGGGAAAGGAGAAGGCTCTTTTAAACTTGAGGCCTGGGTCTGTTCTGAGCCAGTTTCTGAACTGAAAGAACCTTCAGAGCTTCCGCATCATCTGCCCCTTTTCCAGATGTGTGATGGTATCTGCTGTTTCCACGACTCCACTCCTCCCCTCTGACTCAGGCCAGCCAGCTCCTGGGCTCCAGCACAAACCCCTGGCCACAGTGTCCAGAGCTTAGGCATCTTTCCTTCCTCCATACCCCGCCCCTAGCTTCAGGGTTCCCTCCCTTGGCTGCATGGTTGGCAGTTTTGTGAGTCTGAGGTTAAGAAAATATCTGGCCTCCTGAATCTCCGCCTCTGCCCAACTCCCTGCCTCCAGCAAGAGCTCAGCTGAGCTTGGGGAATTGTGCAGGATCAAGAAGCAAGTCAGAGCCAGCCCGATAGGGGCCAACCTTCACTCTACTCTAAAAGCTGCTGGCCTACAGGTACCCACACTGGGTTACTTTTACCTCCTCTGTCACTAGATCAGGGGCTTTTTGTTCAAACCACTTCTTGCCTGAGCTGGGGATGACTCTTGTAGTTTGGATGAGTTACATTAGCTGGATCTTCCTATCTGCCACGTAACCAAAGCCACGATGGCGCTGTGGGTGGACCTCTTTAGCCCCCAAAGTGGGCAAAGTGGCTGGTCGCTGAGGGCAAGGGTACTTGGCTTTTGCCCCCACAGACTCTTCATTCTTGAAGTCATCACTGAATAGTCCTGATTCTAGGATAGGATAACTCTTGCCCAGGTCCCCTAGCCCTGGTATTCCTAAAGACTCAGGAGCTCCACCTCTCAGGGAGAGGGAGGCCCCTTGAATGTTCTCTCCCTGTGCTTTTAGTGCTGGGTCTCCCAGCCTTGACCTGCCAGTGACTTCTTCATCTGCTCCCTCAGGTTAAAGAGGAGGACAAAACTCTGCCAAAGCCTGGCTCTCCTGGCAAGGAGGAAGGGGCTGTAAGTGTATCCCTGAGTTCTCCGAGACGTGCATGCGTGCGTGTGCGTGCGTGTGTGCGTGTGTGTGTGCACGCGTGTGTGTGTGTGCATGTGTGTGTGTTTGCCCCTGCACCCACTAGCCCTGGACTAGCCTGTGAGACAGCTCCATGGAGTAGGTGGAGATTGCAGGGGGCCCCTTCCTGTGTGGCTCAGCTGGAGAGAACTCTAGTAAAGGGGAAGAAAGTATGGTGTGTGTGATGCCAGCCTCGGGTGTGTGAAGGAGATAGCCAGGGTGCTTTGGGGACCTCCCCTAACCTCCTCCCTAATCCCCTTAAGTTGCCTCCCTTTGCTTCTGGTGTCCTGAACCCTTTGGGCCTGGAGAGGCTTGGGTGGGCAAACACTTAGGTTAGGGAGCGTCAAATGAGAGCTCAGCTGTTGGGATTCTTCAGCCTGCTCTGGGTGGCACAAGGCAAGGGCGTAGAGGGACTTCACTGCAGTCGCTGCTGTCTCTTCCAAGACCCTGTCAGCTGCTTGGTGCAGGTGACCTGGAGGCAGGCTCCAGCTACCCACTGCCTCCAGCCCCAGTGCATTGGGATAGAGACCCTGAATAAACCTGGACTCTCCTAAGGCAAGAGAGGAGAATCGGTTTCTGAATAGCCAAGTCCAGAGATGTGTAGTTAGGAGAGGGCAGCTGGTGGCACCAGGGGCAGGAGTGCCCAGGGCTCTGGGGCAGAGCTGGATCACAACACAGATCCTTACTTCATTACCCCAGATGGTGCCTGTCCTGGCTCCCTGTACTTCCTTGGTCAATTTGATTAGCCAGGCACTGTGGCTTCCACCTGATCTGCAAACAGTCCTGGAAAGCCAGACTGTGATTTGAAAGGGATGTGGGTGTGTGAGGGAGAGGCCTCAGAGTTGCCCAGAATTTATTTATTTTTTTTTGCAAAAACTACATGTAAAGTGCTTGGAAGAGTGCCATGGCCCATAGTAAGTACTGTGTAAGTCTTACTATCATCATCATTGTCATCATCATTATCATCATTTTCTTTTTTTTTTTTTTTTTGAGACAGGGTCTTATTCTGTCACCCAGGCTGGAATGCAGTGGTGCCATCTCAGCTCACTGCAACCTCTGCCTCCCAGGCTCAAGCTATCCTCCCACCTCAGCCTCCTGAGTAGTGTAGCTGGGACTATAGGCGCACACCATCAAGCCTGGATAATTTTTGTATTTTTTGTAGAAACAGTTTCACCATGTTGCCCAGGCTGGTGTTGAACTCCTGAGCTCAAGCAATCTCCCTGCCTTGGCCTCCAAAAGTGCTAGGATTACAGGCGTGAGCCACCACACCTGGCCCATCGTCATCATCTTAATGATGGAAGGGGGATGGGAGAAAAGCCAGAAGAGGGAGGGGAGGAGTGTAGGATCCAGTGGCTAGGGCCACTGGCCAACTCTGCAGTGCCCTGGCATGCCATTGATCACTCTTGGCCTAAGAGGTTGAGGAAGAGGCACCTTCAAGCCCTTACTCTCTCTATCCCTTCAGCAGAGCCAACCTGTAACCAGGGCCTACATTAAGGCCCTTGGCTCAGCTCTGCGCAAAAGGTGGAGCAACTTCTCCTTGTGGCATCCAGAGGCAGCAGCTCCCAGGTGTGCCTACTATGAGCATCTTCCTGCATCCAAGCAAGCATGGGCAGGTGGGCCTTCACAGAGCCCAGTGCCCATATGTGTTCTAGAACCAAGATCATTGTTTTGGGCAGCAAGGACTCAAGCACAGCTCAGCTGGTGACAGAGCTCTGCCTGTCCAACAAGGAGACCCCTAGTTGCCCTTACTCCCCCCAGGCAGTGGGGCTGGCTTTATGGGAAACTGTCCTGCTGTTAGCCAGCCTGGCCTTCCAGTGGCAGTCCCTTGGGACCCAGACAGTTAGCACCAGTGTGTGGGGGAAGGGTGGGCACACCAGCTAGAGTATACCAGTCCACTCCAGGGCAGAATGGAGCTGAGGCTGCTTGAGTGCTTAACCCTTTGTGGGCTATACACACACTCTGGGAGCTAGGGGGTCTCCAAACCCTTGAAAGGTTTGCAGGAGGAAAACTGCAAAGAGACTGCAGAAAGCAGGCTAAAGTGGAAGCTTCCTGGGCCCATGCTGGGCTCCGCAGCGCTTGAGAATATAGTTGAAGGGCAGACAGTGGCCACAGACGAGGGATACTGCGAGGAGGAGGCTTGGCATGTCTTGGGGCCAGGAAGAGCTCCCTGATCATTTTTCCCTTCAGGATGGGCAGGCTTTTGGTCTGACTGCCCAGCAAACAGGTGATGGAAGGACCAAGGACCACAAAGGCAGGAAGCCCTGGAGTTAGGCCTGGGATTGGTGGTGGGAATGGAGGTGGTACTTGGCTGTTTAACCTCTCCATGCTCCATCTCTGCTGCGTCTGAACTGTGAGGCAGTGGGCTCGCCTAGATTGGGACTTGGTTGCTGCCCTAACACAAAGCCAGTAACCCCAGAGCGCCTCACAGGCCTCTGGGCACTGTGTGCCGGCATCTCACAGGTCCATGCTGAGCCTGGGGATGGGCAGCAGGTGACAGCAGTACCTGATCGTGCTTTGTGGAAAAGAAGCCAGACTCTTAGCTGCAATTGTCCTATCTGGAAGATGGAAAGTGGGCTTCTTGGGGTAGCCTCTTGGAGCCATGTGTTGCTTTGGATGAATGGGAGATCTGTTCCAGGGCATGAGGTCACACCTTCTTACTCCCTCTGCATGGGATGGGCAGGGCTGCAGGGGGTGATGCTAACGTCTACCTGTGTTTGTATGACTATAGCTAGAGGGCAGCTCAAAGGAAGGCAGCGGCCCATCTAGGAGTCCTCAGCCTCCCACCAGCCCGATACCCCCAGAGACTTCCCAGAAAGCCAAGAGCCCTGCACCCACACTCGCCATGAATGGCCTGGGAGCTGCCACAGCAGAAGGCCCAAGTGAAGAGGTCCAGGGCCTGTCCCGGAAGCGGGTGGCAAATGCAGTGAGGAAGGTGGTGAGTAAGGTGCTGCCCAGCGAGGAGCTTGGAAATGCCAAGGAGCCCCCAGGCAGAGGAGTCAAGTCCCCTGAGCACCCGACTCGAAGCAAGAGGGGAGAAAAGGCAGCTTCTAGTCCCAAGCCGCCACCCCCTCCCCCGCCTCCCCCTGCTCTGCCTAAGCCTGAAGCGAAGAAGGAGGCAGCCAAGGATGAGCTCTCCCTGGGCCTGCGGAGCCTGATGTCTCGGGGCAGGGGCAAGGAGCACAAGGCCCGCGGCAAGCAGTCTCCTGGGAAGGGGGAGAAGCCCTCCAGCCAGGAGCCAGGCTCCCCAGACTGGGTGGACTCCCCAGAGAAAGCAGGATCCCCAGCCAAGCCTGAAACCCCAAAGAAGCAGCGCTCCCCAGCCCCACGGGAGGAGCTGGCGGCCCCAGGCTCCGCTGGCCTGAAGTCAGACCTCACTGGAGAGCAGCAGTCCAAGTCACCAGTCCCTGGTGTGAAGCAGGAGGTACAAGAGTGTGTCACTAACCACTCCTGCCCCTCACCACCCTCGCTCAAGGGCCAGACACCCTCACAGCTGGCTGCCCCAAGCCACCTCAATGAACCCCGCATGACCGAGAGGCTGGGCCTAGGGTCATGTGCTGACAGCAGGGGCTGCATGGCTTTCCCTAACCCAATGCGGACCCCGCAGTTGCCTGGGCTCTGGCCCGGCGGCTGGGATGGAAACTGCTAACCAGCATGCTGCTGGCCTTGCCATGGGAGTCAGGGCCTGGTCCCCAGCTACACGGCGCCAGCTTGAGGCCCCAGACCCAAAGCGGAGGATCAGAGTCTCAGCAGATCGTTCCAGGCGGAAAGATGTTTTCTCAAGTCTGGGGTCTGGGCTTGCATTCCCAGCCACTCATCCCCTGGGACCTCAGCAAAGTCCCATCTCAGACTTCCCCTGTTGAGTGGGGTTAATACAGGTCCAAAATTTCTTCTCTGATACCCTGGGTGTGGAAGTATTTTGGAAATTAGTAATCTTTGTATTTTAGTGCCATACAGGATGCATAATGAGCAACAACGCATAACAAACATTAACATTTCCCAAGCAAAATCTATGAATATTCACACTACAGGGGCACAGAGGATAAACTGCCAGGTTTTGCCGCCAAAATAGTTAAGAAAAATGTTTTCTTTGGGGGGCTTTTGGAATTGCAAATAAGGGATAATAAGGGTTTTAAGTAACCAGAAGATTAGAAATGATACAGATAATGCTCCAAGCTGGTCCCTGGCATGGTGGGTGCTCCATAAATGGTAGCATTGATAGTGGTGCTAGTAACAGTTGTTATTGGTGCGCTCACTGCCGTCACTGCCTCCTTTAGGCCTGGCCAGCATGACCCTCTGGCAGCAGGACTCGAGGAGCCCTGAGCTTGGATGGCGGATGGGTATAGTGGGCCCCTTGGGGTATAGGACAATCCTGTCTTCCCAGAAAGTGTTCTCTGGGTGGGGGCAGGAGGCTGAGAAGCAGGAGGGAGGGTCAGTCCAGCCTCTTTCCCTTGGAAAGTGTTGCCTTCTTGGCTGGCCTCTGAGTTGGGGACAGTTCTCTTCAAGTTTCCCTTTTGTGGACCCTGCTGAGGCCTCCCAGGGTGTGGGGGAGGGGCATCAAGTTTTGCCACTACTTCCCTGTGCTCTTGCAGGCTCCTCCTGGCTGGAAGGAGAGGAGTCTGGAGGGTGTGGGGGAACAGCCTGAGAGGCCTTGAGGCCCCTCCCTGACTGCTAACTCCTGGGACCTGAGGAGCCTTGTTGCTCCCCGTTCTTCCTGGGCTTTGCAGCACTTAGAGAAAAGCCAGCCGCTGCTTTTCCCACCCACCTGGCCCAGTCTGTGAATCGGGGAAGTGCCTGTTCCTGCTCACAGGGAGGAGCTGGCATGGGCATTTTGGGCAGGGTATGGGCAGAACTGTCAGTCACTCTGGAGAGCCTGTAAGCAGGTGGGGAGTGTCGTGGTCCTGTTCCCGGGCGGCTGCCCTCCCCTCGGATTCCCTGTCCCTCCTCCTCTCACAAGGGAGGAGTTGGGAGCTGAGACATGCCCTGACCTGGAGTTTAGCCACCTGTCACCTGGGCCTGGGACAGGGTCCAGAGGGCAAGTGGGATAATAGGGCCATTTGGTGCTCAAGATAGGCAGGTGGGAAGAAATAACCCCAGAACTCCCAGGCAACTGTTCTTTTTTTCTAATCTGATAGTTTAAAAACTCAGATTGCCGCGGGGCTTGCTCCCTGACCTTGCTCCCCTTCCCTGGTGGGTCCCAGTGGCTTCCTGGGCTGGGAGCTCTGCATGCTGCGGCCTCGCCGTTTCTGGGCTGGGACTAATAGTGGTTTAACCTTTAGGCAGGAGCTGCCAAGGTCCAGCTGACCCCCGTGGAAGAGGCCCACCAGCGGCTGGAGAGGATCTTCACAGCTTCTGTAATGCCCCTCTTGTGTGTGGGTCCCAGTCCCTGGCCACCCTCTTCCTGAGGCTGGTGGCAGGACCCTGTGTGTGTCTGTAGGCGCGCTGACCATGAAGGTGGCTCCGTGGCAGCCTGTGGGCCCTCATGTCGGGTTCTCGAAGAAATGAGAGAAGTGCTCTGGGGAGAGTGGTTCCTCCAGAAAGCCCAAAGCGCTGTGCATGTGGGAGGGCACCCCTCCTCGCTCAGGGCCCAGTCCCTTTCTCTGGCCACATTGTCCTACCTCTAGGACATGTGTTGGTGGCAGGGCCTGGCGGGTGGTAAGGAAGGGTGCTGTCACTATTTTTGGTGTCCTGGCTCTCCGGACCCAGGTGGGGCCTGTTAACTCCTTGCCCATTTCTAACAGGTAACATCCAAGTTCTGGTTGACTCGCCTTCCTCCCCAGAAAGGCTTTGCAGGGCTTTAAGTAACCAGAGAGGTCAAGGCTGGCCACAGGGTTTGCCCACGGTACCTTGGCTCTTGGGCAGCTGTCAAGTGGTCCCCAGGTTGGATCTAGATGGGGTCGTTGTGCCTGGCTGGCAGAGGTGGGAGTGCTGTAGGGTGCGTCGGGGTTGAGGAAGAGATTCTAGACTGGAAGCTGCTGGGAGCTGTGTTCTATGAGAGGTGCAGGGCGACAGCTCTGAACGCAGCCCTTGACCTGGGGAGTGGCACCCTTGGGCTGTGTTAGAAGGCAAGGAACAGCTCTGTGCTGGTGGCCACAGGGGAGCTAGGCTGAGAAATGCTCTGGAGATAAGGCAGGAGGCTGGCAGGGGGCCCAGGCCTTGGGTGTGGTCAGGTGGCCTGGCCTGGTAGACACACAGAAGAGGAAGCCTGATTCAGAACAGACTGGATGGTCAGCCCAGGAGAGACTGTGGCCAGAGGCAGAGTGGCAGACTCCTGCCCAGGCCACTGGGAATGACTTAGAGGAGCATGTCCTCTGAGAGGCCTCATGGTCACTAGTGTCTCTTCACCTTCCTGGCCTATCCTTGACTGGGTGCACTTCACCTGCTCAGGCCAGGTCCTGGCACCAAACCCCCACCTTCACCCCGAGCCTTGGACAACCAGGGCGTGCCGGCCCACTTGACTCAGGAGTGCTTGCTAAAGGGGACGTGCCAGTGGTCTGCTTGTCTTCACCCTTCTTCTCTCTCTCTCCTTTGCTTGCTGTCGGTAGCTGGACTCTGAGGCCGCCTCTCGTGCCCACAGCCAGGTAGGGTGCTCTCCCCCCACTCAGGAGCCCTCCGCTCGCTCCGGTGACCACCCAGCGCCCCCGGCCTGCACCTGGGCTGGCGTCTGTGCTCGGGCCTCCTGCTGGAGTGTAAGGCCTCTTTCTCCTCCAGGCTCCCACCCTGTGTCTGGGAGGACCCCAGCGGGAGGTAGTGCCAGGAGCTTGAGATGGTGCAGCTCTGTGTCAGGCCCCTGGGGAACATCTAGACCGAGTGTCGCCCTTCAAGTCAGGCCCATGTGGCATGTGGTTCTCAGCCACTGGAGCCCAAGGGGGATCTGGTTGAGTTCTAGGTGTTTCAACTCTGCTCTCTCTGGAGAGAGAAAGCTGAAAAGGCGGAATCCCTGCCCTCTTCCCAGCCCATGCCTGAACATGAGACATTCTCTGTCTCCACCTCCTGGCCAATGTGAGAAACCCATTTTCAGATACACTTTAAAGGAGTTAGTTACAGGCTATGATGTCACCTTCTTCATCAGTCCCCAAATACCTGGTGCCTATTCAACACAAAGGTCTCCCCTGTCTTATGTGATTTGGAAAAAAAAAAAAAAAAAATTACAACATTGTAATGATTTTTATAAAGTTATAGTTCTTCAAATATAAAGAACTAGCCTTTTTAATGTCCTCACTTAACACACCAAAATGTTGCCAGCCACATGGTGATCCTCCTATTCAAAGAGTTATTTCATGGGTCCATGAAACCCAGAGATCTGGGAGCCACTGGTGCAGCCCAGCCCTCCTATTCCAATCTGGGGAAGGGCCATCCAGCACTGGAGGGATCTGCTAAAGCCAGAAGCCAACCTGGGAGGAGAGCACACATCTCCTTTTCTTTCAACTCCAAGAAATGTAACAAAGAACATACTTCTTATGTTTCCTTATCGTTTCCTGATTTCTCACTCAGGGGGTCAGGACCCAGGCAGTGTCCACGCCTGGGCCTCAGGTTTCAGGCTGATTGTGCCTCACAGCTGGGACCCTCCGAGAGTGTAGGGGCCTGGGCTAACCCAAGGGTGGGTCCATTGCTACTGGGGTGCCCATCCCCCACCTGGGGCACAGGATGACCTTGCTGTCATTTCACCCACACACAAGAGGAGCCCGTTGGGCCCTGGGTCCTTCATCTGTTTCCCCAGGTCCCCCAGACACCGTTTCTTCCCAGTTCAAATGTCCTTCTTAGAGGGTGCCAGATTTGACAGCCCACACCCTGTCAGTACCTATGAATGCTTATTTCTGAGTTGGTGACCTCCTGAGGCCTCTGGGGGCTCCCAGCCCCTTTACACCACTCCTGTGTCCATCTGTATAATGTGTAAGCCTCTCCCTGTGTTTGACAGAGCAGGGCTGCCCCTACCCCATATCTCTGGCCGCACTGCCTCGTGCCTTTGTGTGGCATTAGCACGTCTGCTAGGTCTGTGTGACAGGGGTCTTTGCTGATGGTGGCATGAAGAAGGAGCAGGGAGGCTGGTGTGTGTACCCGGGTACTGTCCCCCGGCCCAGGTAGAGCAACCTCTGGACGGGAGGGCCAGGGCTGAGGCCAGGGCTCCGAGCCCACCTATCCTTCTGTACTGCGAAGTCCGGGCAACTCCCTATTGAGATCTGAGGACATGCCCTCTCCCAGCCTGGCAAAGGAGGCCCTACCATTTAGATGAAGGGAGAAGCTGGGCATGGAAGATCCTAGTAGCTGTGGCCAGGGTCTAGGGCCTTGGACTCAGGACACTGATCTCCCGGGCTTGGCAGGGTGAAGGGGTAGAGGGTGGCTGAGGGAGAACCTGGTGATTTGCTTTCCTGGGGCCTGCTCTCTCCTGGGCACAAGCTCCCTGTGTCCCTGTCTTGCCAGACCCTCACTGATGGTATGGTCCCTAGCCTTTGTGTCCTGTCCTCAGGGCTCCTCAGAGCCACCCCTGCCTCCTGGCTTCCCCACCCTCTTTCCCAGACACCTCCGATGTCCCTGTGTTCTGTGTCTATCACCTAACTCATTCCTTGCCCAGTGGCTTGTCTCGAAGCCTATGCTCTCACTTGTCTCCCCTCTCCTGCTGTCCTTGTCCCTGTCTTCTATAGCAGGGCCTTTTATTCTTCCCTCTCGCTGACAGGCGAAGACAGAAGAGCAGATTGCAGCGGAGGAGGCCTGGAATGAGACGGAGAAGGTGTGGCTGGTCCACAGGGACGGCTTCTCACTGGGTGAGTCTTGGAGTGTCCAGGGGCACATGTCAGGACTCTCTGGTCTCAGGGCTGGGCAGCAAATGTGCCTTCTGCATCTGGTGAGGGCTGAGCAGTGAGCGAGAGGCTGGTGATGCAGTGGGGAGGAGGGCAGGACCGAGAAGTTCCCACGTGGAGTAGCAGAGGCTTCCCTGGCCCATCCCAGCTGTCTGTCCCTCCCCTGCAGCCAGTCAACTCAAATCTGAGGAGCTCAGCTTGCCTGAGGGGAAGGTGCGCGTGAAGCTGGACCACGATGGGGCCATCCTGGATGTGGACGAAGATGACGTGGAGAAGGTGGGCAGGGGGCTGGGTTGGGGAAGGAGGCTCAGGAGTGCTCTGGGCAGGGCAGGCCCATCCTCTGGCAGCAGAGATGGGCTCTGCTGCTCCAGTGCCCACCCGCCTATCCTCCCACACAGGCTAATGCTCCCTCCTGCGACCGTCTGGAGGATCTGGCCTCACTGGTGTACCTCAATGAGTCCAGTGTCCTGCACACCTTGCGCCAGCGCTATGGCGCTAGCCTGCTGCACACGTATGCTGGCCCCAGCCTGCTGGTTCTTGGCCCCCGTGGGGCCCCTGCTGTGTACTCCGAGAAGGTGCGGCACCCTCAAGGCTACCCTGCAGACTCCTGGCCCCACCCCCTGCCCTGGCTCTCTGCCCTTCCCCTGTGGCATCCCACTGGGCTCCTATCCACTCTCACAGTTGACCTTGGGAAGAGGAGTCATTTCAAGAGATGGGGGACAGGACCTCCCCACAACCTTTGATGGAGTCCAGGACTTACCTTCTGTATTTCCATGCATGGCCTTGGAATCCCTGGGCACTACAGGAGGGAAAATCCAGAAAGATGTGGACCTTAGTGGTGAGGGATGTCTTAATGGGATCAGCTAAGAGCCAACCCCTTCTCTCCCTTGCTCTCCTGCCCAAGGTGATGCACATGTTCAAGGGGTGTCGGCGGGAGGACATGGCACCCCACATCTATGCCGTGGCCCAGACCGCATACAGGGCGATGCTGATGAGCCGTCAGGACCAGTCGATCATCCTCCTGGGTAGTAGTGGCAGTGGCAAGACCACCAGCTGCCAGCATCTGGTGCAGTACCTGGCCACCATCGCGGGCATCAGCGGGAACAAGGTGTTTTCTGGTGAGGCAAGAACAACGGAGAAAACTGAAAGTGGGGTGAGGGGAGGGGAGTGAGGAGAGAGCACCCTCTTAAGTGCCAGCTCTTTTTCTCCCTGGCCTTTCCATCCCCCTGAAACCCCTCTGTCCATGGGCAGTTCTGTGAATGGCCCCAAGCCTTCATACCTCTGGAGCTCCTAGCTGGGAGATGAGCTGCCCCTGGCTTTCCTGATGTCCCCTTGGGCCTGTATTCTGCAGTGGAGAAGTGGCAGGCTCTGTACACCCTCCTGGAAGCCTTTGGGAACAGCCCCACCATCATGAACGGCAATGCCACCCGCTTCTCCCAGATCCTCTCCCTGGACTTTGACCAAGCTGGCCAGGTGGCCTCAGCCTCCATTCAGGTGAGAGTGCTGCCCAGGACTCGGGGTAGTAGGAGATGGGCCACGTGATTTCATGACCTAGAAATTAGGCTGTCTCCCGTGCCTCATTTTCCTGGGATTCTACCCCAACAAAATTGACCCAGGCACAGGCAGGCTTGCCCTGTGCTACCCGGAGGCATCACCTTCTGCCCTCAGGGCCTCCTGCCCTGGATGGGGCCTGGTCCAGCTTTCTGCCCAGTTCGCTTCACTCTCCCAACCCTGGGGTTGTCCTCACTCTACTGCTGGGCCTCAGCCTCACACCCATTTTCTGAGATTCATGCTTGGGGCTTCTCTCGGGCCAATTTCACCTAGCAGAGGACCGGCTTGTCAGTAAAGTAAGGCCCAGCCAAGGCTGATTCTTTCCCATGCTAAATACCTCATCACAGGCTCCCATTTCCAGAAGGCAGGCACCTGGGGGCTGGGCAGCGTGGCAGGGCCCCTTTGGGAGCTGGGCCTGTCTTCTTCCACCTCATTCTGGTTTCTGTCCCCAGTTTGATCCTAGAGGGATCTGGTATCTGGTTGAGCACCTTGGGAATGAGATGCAGCTGCTTAATTGAGCCAGATGTGGTAGTGCATGCCTGTGGTCCCAGCTATTTGGGAGACTGAAATGGGAGGGTCACTTGAGCCTGGGAGGTTAAGGCTGCAGCAAGCTGTGATTGTGCCACTGCACTCCAGCCTGGGCAACAGAGCGAGACCCTATCTTAAAAAAAAAGAATTAAAAAACAAGATGTAGGTTGGGTGCAGTGGCTCATGCCTGTAATCCCAGCACTTTGGGAGGCTGAGGTGGGTGGATCACCTGAGGTCAGGAGTTCAAGACCAGCCTGGCCAACATGGTGAAACCCCATCTCTACTAAAAATACAAAAATCAGTTGGGCGTGGTGGTGCATGCCTGTAATCCCAGCTACTCAGGAGGCCAAGGCAGGAGAATCGCTTGAACCCAGGAGGCGGAGGTTGCAGTGAGCCAAGATCACTCCACTTTGCTCCAGCCTGGGTGACAGAGTGAGACTCTATCTCAAATCTTAAAAAAAAATGCAGCTGCTTGTTCCCCAGGGCCTAGAGGACCATGGGTTTGATTCCTTCTGATGTGGGGTGGGAAAAACTTGATCTGGCACTGCTCTGCTTACCCACACCTCCATGCTGTGCCACAGACAATGCTTCTGGAGAAGCTTCGTGTGGCTCGGCGCCCAGCCAGTGAGGCCACATTCAACATCTTCTACTACCTGCTGGCCTGTGGGGATGGCACCCTCAGGTGAGATGGGTCAGAGGGTACACAAGGGTGCTATGAGCTCCAGCCCGCTGACTGGCCTCCTGGACCTTGATTGCATCCAGAATTAAAGCCACTTGATCACGTCCTGCACTGTTTGGTCATTGCATGTCTGCTATGTGGTAGGCTCTGAGCTAGGCCCCAGGGACGGTGACACGGATGAGATGTAGTCCCTGCCTATCAGGAACTCCCTGGTCCTGGGTACTGGGGCCTGGCTATGTGGGAGGGGAACAGAAAACCCTTCAGTGTTTCCAGGGCCTAGCTAGGATCTCCATTACCCATGAAGCCAGTTCTGGAAAGCAAAGCTCACTGAGGTGCCGGTGGTTGGGGACTTGCCTACCATCGCATGACTGGTAGGGGTATTTGAGTCCACACTGGGGCCAAAAGCCCATGCCTCTTCCAGTGGCCTCCAGACTAGCCCTTCCTGCCCCGTGTTGGCTACCTCTGCCACGCTCTTCCCTTTAGACCTTCAGACTTGCTGTGTGTTCACTGAAAAGATAAATGATGAGGCTGAGCCAGCAACCCCAGGCCATTGTCCTCTTTAGCTCTTCTTGTAACTGAGGGCATGGTCTCTGCCTTGGCTGGACTCACCCTTCGGTCAGGTTCCCTGCTCCCTTCTGGGGGCCTGGCTGCATCCTCTTACCAGGGCATGTCTGGTGGCCTGTACTCAGGAGAATGGTGCCCTGACCAGGCATCCAGGCCAGTTAGGAAAGCAGTGGCAGCTGGCCTGCCAGTCGGGGATGATGGGAGGATGGGCAGACAGAACTTGGAGTCTGGAAGCTGAGTCTGTCTGTCTCCACCCTGGGGGGAAATGGCCTTGGCATGGGGACCAAGCGCTGTGCTGACGCCTTATTTATACCCCTAGGACAGAGCTCCACCTCAACCACTTGGCAGAGAACAATGTGTTTGGGATTGTGCCACTGGCCAAGGTGAGGGGTCTGTGGGTCTGGGTTGGCAGCCCTGGGCCTTGGAGGGTAGGAAAAGCCTCCATGGGTCCCGTGGGAATAATGGGAGCCCAGCTCCAGCTGCTGGCTCTACCCAAGCCTTGTCTTGAGGGCCCAGCTTCTCATGGGGGTGTGCTGGGAGGAACAGCCCTTTGAAGTCATCTATCTCCACAGCCTGAGGAAAAGCAGAAGGCAGCTCAGCAGTTTAGTAAGCTGCAGGCGGCCATGAAGGTGCTGGGCATCTCCCCCGATGAACAGAAGGCCTGCTGGCTCATTCTGGCTGCCATCTACCACCTGGGGGCTGCAGGAGCCACCAAAGGTAACCTGCAGTGGGTCCCAGTAGGCTGGCCTGTCCCCTGGGAGATCTCTTAGGGGCCCTGCCCACTCCCAGTTTATTCTTGCCCAGCACAGATTCAGCCATTCTGAGACACCCCTCTTTTGCTTGTGCCTCTTCTCAGCCCCCCGGGGGGCACTGTGAGGAAGCATGGAGGGCTGGGGTTCAGAGGCTGAGGGACGAGAAGGACACTAAGGCAGGGCAGCCCCGCTGGAATAACTCTCCTTCTTGTTCCCTTCCTGACAGAGGCCCCCGAGGAGCAAGCGGGTAACTGACCTTGGCCCCGCCCTGGGGTGTAGGGGCCGCCGTGCCCTGTCTTGGTGCTTGCCCAGGACTTTCTGGGGGCTGGGCTTGTTCTATTGCTGCGGAGAGGACTGGTCTGGGGAGAACCCCGGGAGTTGAGAATGAAAGGGGAGCCTGCAGGCTGTGGGGTGTCTTGGAGTCCCAGGAGTAGCTGCTTCTCCTGCCAGTTTTGGATCTGAATCCTGGAACCTCTCAGGATGCCCACCATGGGGTGGGGTAGGGTGGGCTTGCTTCCTGGGGCCTCCGGAGACCAGTTTTCCCCAGTCCTCTTTCCTTCTCTCCACTGGTTGGGTAGCTGCGTATCTTCCTCTTGCATGTCAAGGTGGCGGCCACTAGGGGGCAGTAGGCACCGTGGTAACGAATGGGCTGCAGCTTTGGCACTTTGCGCTTGGGGACTTGGCCTGGCTTGGAGGAGCTCTGCTCCATCCTTCAAGATGACTTACGTTGGAGGGTGGCGATTTGAGCACCTCTTCACCCCTTTTTTCTACAGTTTAGGGAAAGGGGATGCTAGTGCTGAACAGCACCTTGGGCTTTGGCTTTGTCCCCTTCTGGGATGTGAAGGGCCCCAGGCTGCTCAGCTGGAGTGAGAAGGCCCTGGCGGGTGGTGGGTGCATGGAGGAATGGATGCCCGGGCGTGAGGCTCCGTGCGACCCCAAGAAGTGGCATCCCTGCCCAGGAGGAGCCAGGCTCTGGGTTAGGGAAGTTGTTTCGAGAATGTGGAGGACGGACAGGCAGGCAGGCGTGTGGCTGTGTGTTGCGGGAAGTTGCTTCACTCTGAGGTGACAAGCCTAGCTTTCCTCTAACCTACCCAGCCCCAGCTGCAAGCAGAGAGCTCCCGGTGTCAGCACAGGGACCTTGTCGAGCAATGTCTGTTAGCGCCTCACAGGGACCTTGTCGAGCAATGTCTGTTAGCGCCTCAGAGCTTCCAGTGTTTTCCAGGGTGTGTGTGTGTACGCGCACACATGTGCATGAATGTCTTTGTGGGTCTCTTTCTGTGTGTGTCAGTGTGATTACACCCACAGACATACTCCCTGGAGACTGTGTGTGTGTGTTTGCATTTGTCCCAAGTCTGACTGTGGTTGTGTTTTCTTGCCTGCTCATCCTCACAACAGCCCCGCCCCACGGTCCCTTCGAGGCGGCGAGCCCCGTTGATGACTGTTTGCTAACACACTGTTTTTCTTTGCATGCTGCATGCTGGTCCTTTGCCTTACAGAAGCTGCTGAAGGTAAAACCTTGTTTCTTGTTAGCTTTCCCTAATTGCCGTGATTAGACACATGTAGGCTGAGGCACATACGTCTGTGCGGGCTGTTCCCTTTCCCCTGCGGCTTTTTTGCCTCCCCACTGTTGGGCCATCAGTGGGTGTTTGTGGTCTCCACTGGCAGATGCCAGGGGGGCAAGAGGGAGGGTTCTAATGCACCCAGGGAATGAGGAGGCATGAGCGATCTCTCAAGATAAATCCCCCACAGGCACACAGGGTTCTTGTGCCCATCCCAGGTGGGCTGGTTCGTCCGCCCTTCCCCTACTTGGGCACCCCTGGAGCTGAGCCGTCTGAAAAGGGATTTTTGCAACCGGCTTCTTGCCCTCCGGTGGCAGCATGTGGAGTTACCGCCTACTTTAGGACCTGCTCATTCTCTCCATCCCCATGGAACACAGGAAATGCTGGCCACTGCTGGCTGCCCCTATTCTGCCTAAAGCCCATCAGGTGTCATCAGGGCTGGTTTTTGCCCCCAGAAGATGCATAGTCATCAGCTGGTCATCACGTCATCAGCTGGCCTAAGGGAAAAGACCCAGGATGCCAGATCCCTTTTTCCACTCCACAGCTGGGCGCAAGCAGTTTGCCCGCCATGAGTGGGCCCAGAAGGCTGCGTACCTACTGGGCTGTAGCCTGGAGGAGCTGTCTTCAGCCATCTTCAAGCACCAGCACAAGGGTGGCACTCTGCAGCGCTCCACCTCCTTCCGCCAGGGCCCCGAGGAGAGTGGCCTGGGAGATGGGACAGGTACGCTTTGTCCCTTGGCTGATGGTTGTGAGCGGGAGGCCTCATCCCGGCCTTGCTGCCATCCCTGGGGCTGGAGGGGATTGCTGGAGTGAACAGAAGCTCTGTCAGTGGCAGAGGCCCTGCCCCAGGCCCCGTGCTGACTGGGCCTTGGGCAGGTCAGGGGCCTACCCAGGTGGGGAGTCCTGCAGAGCAGGAGATAGCGCTGCTCCCCCTGCCCCACAGGCCCAAAACTGAGTGCGCTGGAGTGCCTTGAGGGCATGGCGGCTGGCCTCTACAGCGAGCTCTTCACCCTTCTCGTCTCCCTGGTGAACAGGTGAGTGCCAGGCAGGACCCAGGGCTTTTCCTGCTTTGGCAGAGGTGGAGTAGATGCCTTTGTGCCTGGTTGGCCGAGGCAGAGCCGGCCTCCTCCAGCAGGGTCTCCCTGTACTGTGGGCTATGAGCAAGGCCAGCACGCCCTCCCCCCCAGGGTCCTGGGCACCTGGGCAGGGATGGAAGTCTGGCTGGGGCAGGGTGGGGCTTCCTGGTGCCAGAGGCCAACCAGCGGGGCTCTGACCCAGGCTGTCCCTATCCAGGGCTCTCAAGTCCAGCCAGCACTCGCTCTGCTCCATGATGATTGTCGACACCCCGGGTTTCCAGAACCCTGAGCAGGGTGGGTCGGCCCGCGGAGCCTCCTTTGAAGAGCTGTGCCACAACTACACCCAGGACCGGCTGCAGAGGCTCTTCCACGAGCGCACCTTCGTGCAGGAGTTGGAAAGATACAAGGAGGTAGCTCTAGGGCCTGGGCCTCACCTGGCCTCAGATTCTGGCCTTGGCACCCCTAGAGAGGGCATCTGTGGATGCAGAAGGCACCACCTTATTCTCCATTTCTGTCCTCCTGCACTCTCTGGAGCAGCAGTCGTTCCTTGCCCCCTTGTCCCTGGCCTCTGGCTTTGGCTACGTTCTTACTTGGTGGAGAGTTTACTCTCCAGGAAGCCTACAGGTGCATTGAGGGCCCTGAGGAGACCGCCCTTGGCCTCTTTTGAGGCACCTCCCAGGCCCAGTGATTGCCACTGTGTGGTTCCTGCTCCAAGTGTGTCTGGGCCTGGCCTTCCCGTCTCCCTTCCCTGATCTGTGAGAGTGACAGATGATGACTTAGTGCCTTCTGTAAAAGGGTGTCCCTGATGGGATGAGAACTGGAAATCCTGCCTCATCTGGAAATGAGTTGAGTGAATTGTCAGGATATTTATTTGGGGCGAGAAAGGATTCAGAAGGAAAATGGCAGTTGTCTTCAAGTGTTTCAAGGATGATTGTGTGAAATTGAGAGTGGGCTTGCTCTGTGTTGCCTAATCAACTGATGTGAGTAATGAGAATGTGACTCTGGCTTAGGATAAAAAGAGGTTCTGAGAATTTTAGCTGTGCAAAAAATACAGTGTGTTGCCTTGGGAGCCGTTTCATTTGGGATGACGGAGGGAGCTCCTGCACGGCACTGAAGGAGGTTGGCCTTGCAGATCTCAGAGCTCCCTCCCAGCCTGCTCACAGGGCTGTTCCCCACAACGTGACCCCCATGCTCAGTACTGCTCGGCCTTCCTTCCCAGGAGAACATCGAGCTGGCGTTTGATGACTTGGAGTCCCCCACGGATGACTCTGTGGCTGCTGTGGACCAGGCCTCCCATCAGTCCCTGGTAGGAGCTGCAGAGAGGGTTTGAGAGAGCCTTTCCTCTCATTTCCCACCCGTCTCCCTGTGGTGGAGCCCTCTCCATCTGAGCTGCTGCCAGGAGTGCCACTGTGGGCTGAGGGAGGGTCCAGCAGTCATGCCCAGACACCAACTACTCTATGGCGCTGGGGCTCTGCCCCTTAGCACTCACGCAGTCTGGCCAGGAAGGTGGCACTTTCTTCTGCTTTAGTGCCCTGGGGAGCCACAGCCCACGGGTGTCCCAGCCAGGCAGGAAAGCATATCTCCTTTCTCAGCCTCTGAGGCTCAGGCCCCAGCTGGTGACTGGCTGAGCCTCCAGTGTGTCTGCCAGGAGCCCTGGTGACCAGTCCCAGGTGATGAGGGCCCAGACCCCAAGGACATAGTCATTCCCTGCCATTGTCCCCAAGTAGAGGACTGGTGCAACCTAACAGAGCAGGGCCAGGAGGCAGCCTCCCACTCCCAGGGGAAACAGTGCCAAGCTGTCAAATGCCCTCTAGGGGGCTGTCATGGATATGAACCCTCTCCCCTCAACCTTGGGGGCAGGCTTTGTCACCCTTTGTGCTAGTGTCCTGGGCACCTTGGCACTTGGTGGGGGACTGGCTGGCCTAGCAAACTCTTGGCATTTGGCGATTGTCCACCATTAGGGGAATTGCATAAGGTGCTTTATTGGCGAACTGGCATTTTTGCGAGGTCGCCGATCTCCGTCCTGTGCTTTGATTCCTGCCTCTCCCTCCCTCTTCTCTGCCATAAGGCCCTGCTTGGCTTGCACAAGTGGTGGGACTGGGAAAGAGTGAGTACCCCCCGGGGACAGATGTTTAAAGTGCCCAAGCACCGCATCTCCCCAGGGAAGTGGATTTTCTTTTCCTGGCACCTGGGCTCCTGTGACGGCCTCACTCAGAACCATTGTGGCTCCCAGAAGAGGGGGGGTGTCAGCATGAGCGGCAGGGGTCAGACAGCATGTGGGAAGAGCTTGGCCCTTCTTTTTCTTCTGTGGTCTCCCCTGACTAATGGGCCTTGGCATGGGGCAGCTGCACCCCTGGGGAAGGGGACCTTGGTGCCAAGCCTGTCTTCCCATCTGATTGCTTCATTGCTCGTTCCTGCTACTTGGTTCCTGCCGCCAGAGTTACCCTGGCCTTTGGCCACATTCTGCTTCCTTCTGGTAATCACGCCAACTCCCTTGGGCATCTGTGGGGAGGAGATGCAGGCAGCTGGGGTCAAAGAGAGAAAAAACTGCCCCTTTCTCACTTCTTTTTTCCTCCAGTCCCTAAAGGCCAGGCCGGAATAGAGTGTGGGGAAGGTTCCATCCTTCCTGCCCAAGAAAGATGTGGGAACTCCATAGAAGAGGCACCTGCAGGCCAGATGTGGCCACAGGCCTAGTTTGTTTGGCCTTCGTGGGATATTGGAAATCAGAATTGGGTATTTCTACCTTCTCTTGAAGAACCAGAGGGTTTATCAGTGCTAGGCCAGTGTTCTTCCAGGACAGCGGTTGGCTGCAGCTCAGTGGTGGTTGTTCCCTATAGATAGGGGTACCTGCTGTCTAGCTTGCCCCAGCCTCTGCTCATTTTGGCTGCCACATCCGTTAAGTCACTTGTCTTATGCTTTTGGTCCTTGAGTGAGCCTGCAGTGATCCCACCGGCAGCCATCTGAGCCCCCTCTGGGTTCTCTACTCTCAGAGACCAGGATTAACCCCACAGCTGTCACTTACTGACAGCTTCCTTAGGGCCAACCCTTGTGCTCAGGGCCTTCCAGACTTTATCCCACTGCCAGGGGAGTGAGAGCAATATGGGGTTCACCCAAGTCCCTGGTGACCTCCGAGGGGAAAGGGTGGAGGAGGGCCTCAGGGCGTGGGCTCTGGCCGGGAGGAAGGCTGCAGTCTTTGGTGACTTTGGACTGGAGTGCTAAGCACCCTCTTTTGCTGTGGGCTTCCCTTTGCTCCCTTTCTTGGCTTCCCTTTCCCTGGGCTGCCCGCCTCCTCCACAAGGTGTCAGCAGTGAGCGACAGGAGCTGCAGCGTGTGCGTGCGTGCATGTGTGCACGTGCGTAGCATTCTGTAGGGTGTGTTTGGGCCTGAGGACCACCCTGGCCCCTTTCCCGCAGCTCCATATGACAAGGAGGGATTTCCTTCCTTCTCTGTAGGTCCGCTCGCTGGCCCGCACAGATGAGGCAAGGGGCCTGCTATGGCTATTGGAAGAGGAGGCTCTGGTGCCAGGGGCCAGTGAGGACACCCTCCTGGAGCGCCTTTTCTCCTATTATGGCCCCCAGGAAGGTGACAAAAAAGGTAGGTGGCATCCCTAGAGGGTAGCTCCTCTGCTTCCTCTTACAGGTGGGTCTAGGTGGCACTCCCTGTGCAGGGGATCACTTTGTGCCTGTGCCCTGACAACCTGAATCTTGCTTCTCCCACCGTCAGGCCAAAGCCCCCTTCTGCGCAGCAGCAAACCACACCACTTTCTCCTGGGCCACAGCCATGGCACCAACTGGGTAGAGTACAACGTGACTGGCTGGCTGAACTACACCAAGCAGAACCCAGCCACCCAGAATGCCCCCCGGCTCCTGCAGGACTCCCAGAAGTAAGACCACCACTGCCTCCTCCCCTGTCCTATACCCAGGACTGTTTTGATTTTGGGGCTCCCTCCCCCTGGAGTTGTCTCAGAGGCCCCCTCACTAGCAAAATAAATGGCCTTTATTCCTGAGAGGCAACAGCCCAGGGCACTTGGCCTGGAGGAGCTGGAGGGGCCTCTTGGAGTAGAGGGGGGAGGCAGACATGGTGGGAGAGCCTATGGTTTAAATGTGAAGAACACCCCCAAGTCAAAGAAGGCAGGAGTGGCCTTAGAAACCCCCAGGCCCATAGGCCCTGTCATCCGCTCTGCTCTTCAGAAGATGGTTAGGGGCACCTACCCTGCGACAGGGGCTTCTAGGTGTTTGGCAGATCATAGTGAACAAAGCTGAGCTCCCTGCCCTTGTGGAATTTACATTCTAGTGGGAGAGACAGATAATGAACAGTGAACGTAATAAATAAATTATATCGTATGTTAGAAGATGTTGAACCCTAACCCCTCCTGTCACATTGGAAACCTTTCCACACCTTTGCCCTCCCTGGTGAGTGGAAGTAGATGAGTAGATCGCTCCCCTCTGTCCAATTCCTGTCCACCCCTTGGCTTCTGCCCACCTCTGGCTTTCTCTCCGTATTGTTTGAAAATTTCTCCACTGTTCGTTTCTCTGTAGGGTGTGGGGCATGCAGTTCAGGTAGCCAGGCCCCTGGACATGGCTGAATGGGACTGTTTGGTGCTCTGGGGCCTTGGGGGAGGAGCGACCTTTTCCGCTCCATAGATGAGGAAAAGCGACTGCTTTTCCTCCCTTATCCTCCCACCTCTGGCAGAAAAATCATCAGCAACCTGTTTCTGGGCCGCGCAGGCAGTGCCACGGTGCTCTCTGGCTCCATTGCGGGCCTGGAGGGTGGCTCGCAGCTGGCACTGCGTCGGGCCACCAGCATGCGGAAGACCTTTACCACGGGCATGGCGGCTGTCAAAAAGAAGTCACTGTGCATCCAGATGAAGCTGCAAGTGGTGAGTGCCAACCGGTTCCCAGCAGGCAGGCCTGGGGACTCCTCCTTACCCCTAGCAGGCAGGCCTGGGGACTCCGAGCACACTGAGGCCATCTGGTGCCCACTCAGCGTTGCGCTGTGACTCGATGGCTGCTGGTGGGGTCTTCTTTTTCAGTGCTGCCACCTGTGAGTGGCCACCCAGGCCCAGCGAGGGCAGAGTTGTCCAGGCTTAGTAGGTCCTGGCTGGTGCTGGCGCCCTTGCTACCCCGTGAGCAGTGGAGACGCTGGCACCAGTCTCTGCTCTTCTGAGCACAGGCCATCAGAGCCCCTGAGGGCGGTCCCTTCCCCTCGGCAGGATGCCCTCATCGACACCATCAAGAAGTCGAAGCTGCATTTTGTGCACTGCTTCCTGCCTGTGGCTGAGGGCTGGGCTGGGGAGCCCCGTTCCGCCTCCTCCCGCCGAGTCAGCAGCAGCAGTGAGCTGGACCTGCCCTCCGGAGACCACTGCGAGGCTGGGCTCCTGCAGCTCGACGTGCCCCTGCTCCGCACCCAGCTCCGCGGCTCCCGCCTGCTCGATGCCATGCGCATGTACCGCCAAGGTGGGGCCTCCTTTCCTCTCCACTTTGGGCTCTCTTTTCCAGAGCTGGCTCTGCCCTGCGCCACCTCGCACCTGGGACCCGTGGGCTGCAGTGGGGCTGCTCCTGTCTCTTTCCTCACGATCCTTTCTGCTCTGGTCTCTCATCTCTCCCAGCCCACAGCCCCTTCCTTTCTCCATTTCTTTCCATCCTGCAGAGTCCCCGCCTCCTCCTCTCCCTTCCGTATTCAGTTTTCTTCATCCCTCTCCCCTCCCAGCTCCACCCCGCGCCTTGTCATTTGTCCACAGCTCCCTTTCTCCTCACGTCCCTAGTTTGGACAGTTCAACTTTGCCCACAGCAGCAAACCCAGTGCCCTTTTGGAGCCATCTGCCTAATGAGAAATGAGGTGCTAAATCTTTCTGAAGTACTTAAAACTCCCAAGAAAGGTCAGTCAGACCCTTTTTTATGGGCCCATCTAAAAGAGGAGACATAGAGGATGATAGTATTAGTGGTTACTTAGAGTCCATAGAAGCTATTGTCGGTGGCTGGGGGCCGGGATAGCACACCGCTATCATGATAGCACTCTGCTATTATTCCAGATGAGGAGACTGAGGCTCAGAGAGGTTAAGTAGCTTGCCCAAGGTCACACAGCTCCTGAGTGGCAGAGTGGGATTTGACCAGGCAGGCTGGCTGTAGAGTCATGTCTCACGTCTCTCAAGTGGGGTTTTTTGGTTGTTGTTTTTGTTGTTGTTGTTTTGCCTGAGAAGTTATGAGTTGCTGGGTTTCTGATGTTTTTCTCCTTTGCTAGAAGAGCAGGTAGACCCACCCACAGCCAGGTCCCCTTCAGGCATTCCCATGGGCACTGTCACTTTTCTTTAGCAGCCCAAGCCAGGAAACGGGCTCCCTGCCCTGCTCTAAATAAATCATCGATCTGTCCCCACGTCTTGATATGGAGTTGGTGTTTATTATTTCAAAACCAGATTGTTACCGCTCTGAACCAAAATCAATGTGCTTTACTCAAACAAGCAGATCGATGAGGCCAGCAGCAGCAGGCCCCCCTTCCCTCACCCGGCCCCCAGCCACCGACGATAGCACTGATGATTAATTAAGATGCCAGGCGTCCAGACCTGCTATCCTGGCCCATCAATTTAATTGCAATTCAGATACAATCAATAGCTCACTTTGTCTTGGCCCCTCAGCAGCCCCCGCCTCCTGTTTCAATTATCAGGCACATGCATCAGCCTCACCTCCCAGCTGGAGGGTTTCCCAGAGCCAGCTAGTCCATCATTGCTGTGGAGCGAGTCCCTGGCTGACTGTCGGGAGTCCAGGTTTGGAAGCCAGTTCTGCCCCCAGCGGCAGCCTCTGTGACCTTGAGCAAGCCAGTCGCTCCTCCCAGGCCTCCATTTCTATGTCTGAAAGATGAGTCAGATCTGGTTTAAGAAGAAACCCTTTCTGGTTTGAAATTCTGTAATTCTGTGGGAGTGGAGTTCGTGGCCCTCCACCCTGGGCTCTGGTAAGATCAGGGTGACTTGGGGTCACCTCCTGCTAGCCACTGCTCTGACCTTGCTCCAAGCCAAAAGCCACCTTGCTCCAAGCCAAAAGTCAGGTCACACCTCCCCTGACCTGAAGCCCAGACACTCTTCAGGGAAAGAGAATCTACAAGTCTTATTTGTCACCTGGCCTAGGACTCAAGGTCAGGATGAGGCAAGGAGGGCGGCCTTTCTGATGTCCTGCTTCAGTGGACGGAGGGGGAAAAGAAGTGTTTATTAAATGCCAAGCAAGTGAGTCACACTGTGCTTTTTACTTGGTTTCTCATTTAATCTCCATGACTACCATGCGAGATAAGTGCTAGGGCCCCCGTTTAAAGGTGAAGACACTGAGGCTCAGAGAGGTTAAGTGACTGGCCCAAGGTCACATGATCCTAAGAGGCAGGGCCAGGAATCCAGCACCTAGCCAACGCATGATTCCTTTCAGCTACTCTGGTGCCTTTTTTTGTTTTTTTGTTTTTTTTGAGACAGAGTCTTGCTCTGTCTCCCAGGCTGGAGTGCAGTGGTGTGATTTTGGCTCATTGCAGCCTCTGCCTCCTGAGTTCAAGCGATTCTCCTGCCTCAGCCTCCTGAGTAGCTGGGACTACAGGCATGGACCACCATACCCAGCTTACTTTTTTGTATTTTTAGTAGAGACGGAGTTTCACCATGCTGGCCAGGCTTGTCTCAAACTCCTGGCCTTAAGTGATCCTCCCACCTTGGCCTCCCAAAGTGTTGGGATTATAGGCGTGAGCCACCACGCCTGGCCTGGTGTCCTTTTTTTTTTTTCTTTTTTTTTAAAGACCACAGGACATTGTTCTGTCTGCGTTATCACTGAGACATAGACTTGGAGAGCTAGAAAGCATCTTGGGGATTGGGACGTAGCCTTCCTCCGAGCTGGTCAGCTGCCCCGCAACCCCCCATTTGCATACCTCACTGACTAGGAGCTTACTTCTTTCTGAAGGAGACTGTTCCTTTTTCAGGCCTTCCTGTCCCCCTGTGGAGCAGGCCTGATTGTCCTCCTGGCCTCCTCTTCCTCTTCCCTGACTCCCCACTCTACTTTCGAGGCCTGCCTTCAACCACAGACTCCCCACCCGCTGCAGTGTCTTCTCTTTTGGTGACTGTCCACTGACTGCCCAGGCACCAGTGGCTACTGGGGTGTGCTGGGAGCAGGCAGCGTTGACGGGCCTGGCTCTGGGCTGCTCTCTCTAGGTTACCCTGACCACATGGTGTTTTCTGAGTTCCGCCGCCGCTTTGATGTCCTGGCCCCGCACCTGACCAAGAAACACGGGCGTAACTACATCGTGGTGGATGAAAGGCGGGTAGGTCCAGGTCCCCAGACCACTCTCCGTCTGCCCAGGCCCCTCAAGCAGCTGCCCTTCCCAGACTCATCTGCCTTCCCTCCCCTGGAGACAGCCCATCTGGCCCTGCTCAGGCTCCTGGTTTTGGAAGCACCCAGCTGTGTCCTGGGGCCCAGACCGTAGGAGCTGGAGAAGAGCCATTCCCTCCTTGGAGGCCTGAGCTGGGGGTGTCTGCTCACTGGTGGGTCAGACAATCATCCAGGAGCGAGCAGGGCCTGGGCCCACTGGGGGCACATGAGAATTATTAGTGCCTTGGGAGCCCCACTGACGGCACCTGGGCCCCCAGCCTGGCCCCCATGTCAGGGATTGGTTCCTGAAGCAGGAAACTGTCCAGGGCTGGGTGAACATTCCTCCTAGAAGGAAGGTGGATATGGCGAGACCTCTGTGGTGCCAGGTGAACACAGGCTGCTGGGCCCTTTCCGGCCCTGGGTGGTGAACTCGCGGCTGCGGAAGGGGTGTCCCTGCCCGTCTGGGCTGTCATGTTGAGCCCCAGAGGCAGCCCCTTAGACAGTCACAGGGCTCCCAGAGCAGAGGACCCCTCCTTTACTGTGCTGGGCCTCAGGCACCCAGCCTGATTCTGAAAACACCTCAGACCCTAGGATGGCTTCCCTAAAAGGAGGGGATGCTGCAGAATGGGGCAGAAAGCCCACAGAGTGCCCAGCCTGTGTGTGGCCCCCTGCCCCTCCACCCCCGCCTCAAAGACCTGAATTCATGGAGGGGGCTCGGAAGAACTTTCTTCCATCCTTTGGCCTGCTGGTGGCCTGGGCAACCTCGTGTGGACATCGATGCCCGTCCCACGCCCCCTTCTCACGGGCCTCAGCCTCCATTCCAGCCTCCCACCTGTGGCTACACCAGTACCTCATCAGCTCTGGAAATGCCCCACCTCTGAAATCATAAATCCCAGCGTGACCTTCTCTGACCACAGCCTCCTGCCTGCTGGTCCCACACCTCTCTTCCCCTCAGGACACCTGCTCTCCAGCTCCGTCAGGACCTCTCTTTCTGGATCACACTCCGTTTCTCTGTCAATTGTCTCCTTTTCCATGGTTCACTCTGCAGTCACTCTGCCTCCATTGCCCTCAGCCCTCCTGAGCCTCCCGCAGCACCTGGCCTGCCAAACTCCCACCCCAAATTGCCAGGCTTTGGGTGTCTGCACTCCTCACTTTGGGCTCCCAAGGGTGGTGGAAGAAAATTATACAACTTTGTGGACTTGACTTCCTACAGGTTCATGGTCTTCAGCCTTTGGTGGGCCCTCGGGGGGAACCAGCAAGTCTTCTAGATGTCCCCTTCTTATCTGACCATGACTCCAGGCTTCCTATCTGCTATTCCATTCTCCATCTTTCTCCTCAAATCCTCCCCACCCCACCTTTCTGGCTCACCTTCTCAGCAGATACCCAACTTCCAGATCTCAGGACATCAGGCTCCAGCTTCTTTTCCTGCCTCCTGCAAACCTCTCTTCCTTGGCCTCCTTATTCCTGTACACCTTCTGTCTTGGTGGGAAGGGTCCCTCCTCTCATCCAGTCCCTTGATCCTGTGCCTTGGAGTCCGTTTCCTTGGGTCTCCCCAGAGACCCGTTCTATCCGTGTGAATTTGCTTCTCTGTCTTTTTCCTCCAGCCTCTCCTTTTCTCCTGGCCCTTTTCTCTCCATGGAGAAACTCCCCCACAGACCTGCAGGTTTTGCTCTCTGGAAGGAGCCTCTGTCACCTCTGTCATCATCTCCCTGTCCTGTGCTCTGCCTCCTGCCTGCCCTGGGCTTTCTTCCTGCTGTCCTCACCGCCCATGGCTGCCTGGTCCCTCTCCCTGATGCCCTGGCACTGGTCTTCTCATCCCCTCCATATTGCCACAGCCAACCAGCACTTTCTATCCCTCTGTTACTTGAATTCTTAGCAGCACGGGGCTCCATTCTTTCTGGGACATCCTCTCCTGGGCCTCTTTGCTGCCACTCCTGGTTTCCCCCTTGACTCTGTTCTCATTCCCTCTGAGCTCCTCATTTCCACTTGCCCCTGAAGTAAAGAGGTGTCTTCCTCAGGACTTTGTCTTTGGCCATATGTATTTTCTATTCTGCACCCTCTTCCTGGCCAACGTCATTCACACTCATCACTTCAATTACTGCAGATATATTGATGACTCCCAAATCAATACCTCTAGCCCAGGCCTCTCTCCTGAGCTCCAGACATACATTTCTATCTGACTGCCTTCTGGACTTCTCTACCCCTATCCCTTATGGCATCTCAGACTCAGCTTTCTCTAACCAAACTCATTCTGTCTCCCCACAGGTCGGCTCTTTCTCTTATATTCCCTACTTTGGAGAATGGCACCATTATCTGCTTAGTTATGTCAATCGGAAATCTCAGTATAGCCCTAGATTCCTCCTTACATACCCTATCCCCATATCAGGCAAGGCTCTGTCTCCTTAACACTTGCCGTGTGTTCTCGTCTTCTCTTCCCCTTGGGCCAGACTCTAGCCTCCCTTCCCGTGGACTACTGCCTAAGAGGGGTAGGTCTCCATCCATCTACCCATTTGCCAGTGAGACCTCTACCAGTGCAGACCTGATCATGCCCATCTCTGAGAGAACCCTTCAGGGGCTCCCGAAGCACACGGGGCTCCACGTGCTTTGGCTCCAGCCCCCTTTCTATTTGCACCTTCACTACCCACCCCCCATCCCAGTTCCAGTGAGTGACTTGGAGTTTCCTCAGTGCATTTTGCTGTCTTGTGCTCCCAGGCCTTTGCGTACACTGGTTCCTCCGCCTGAAATGCCCTCTCCCCTACTTGGTCCAGCAAATTCTCACTTGTATCAGAAGTTCTTAGCACAACCAAGAGCTGTCTGAGGTGCCTCGTGTAGGTGCCACCTCCTGTGGGCACTGCAGTAGTTCACTTGTCTTGCTCCCCAGCAAGATGCTTTGTTCCTCTTGTAGTCACCTCTGTGTCCCCAGAGTCCAACCCAATGCCTGACACTGAGGAAGCCCACACAAGTGCCTGAGTAACAGACTGTCTAGGAGGAGGGAGGGGAAGGGCCAAGGGCCTGGAGGAAGCCCTGCATGGTGAGGGGAGACCCAGGCGGGCTGCCTGACGGAGGCCTCTCTCTACAGGCGGTGGAGGAGCTGCTGGAGTGCTTGGATCTGGAGAAGAGCAGCTGCTGCATGGGCCTGAGCCGGGTGAGTTGTCCCACAGGAGGGCAGTCGGGCCTCACTCCAGGGGCCCCTGGGTGGCTGGCCCACTCCTCCTGTTCTTGTTGCTCAGCCAGACATCACTGGTCTCCTGGTGCCCTCTGAGTCTTGCCCTAGCTCCACCCCACCCAGCCACTCAGGGGCTGCCCCCTTCAAGGCTAGGGGCCAGGGAGCTAGAGGGTTCAGATGCAGCAACTTGACTTTCCTTCCTTCTGGATAACTGGCTTGTTCAGTGCCAGGAACACCTCTGTGATGTCAGGAGAGAGTGGGTGGAAGGTGGCCCTGAACTTGGCCCGAGTCCTGGTGTGGGGAGTAGGGGAGACTGGAGGGCTGGACCCAGAGGATGTGGGCTGGAAGAGGCAGGAGGCCTTGGGTAGAGCCCCTGTGGAGAGTTACCTGAGGCTGCTGGGTTCCAGAGAGCAAGCAGGACATGGTGAGGCTGTGCCGCCACCACCTGCCCGCAGGCCGAATTCCTCATCTGAATGGAACGCTGTGCGTAAAATGCAGGCACGCCGGCCCCTGGGTGCCAGTTTGCCGCGTCACTCCTCACCAAAGGGTCAGCTGAGCATTCCTCCCACAGGCAGGAAGCCCTGCATGCCCCTCTCTTCCGAGCCTGGGAAGCTTGGACAGGGGGCACCCGCATACGTGCCCCAGGGCTGGGGTGGAAAGGAGGCCAGTGGAGAGCCAGAGAGGGTTCTGGGCTGGTTGTCTGCCGGCAGAGAGGGAAGGAACTCTGGGTTGCAGGGTCCCGTGAGGCGTGTGCGGTGCAAGGAGGTGCTTGCAGAGGCTTGAGTCTCACTTGTCCTGTGTGCTTGGTCCTCTCGGCCCTGCATGTTGAGTCGCTTTCCTGGCTCCTCCTGCCCTCCCTCACTGTCCATCGCTCCCATCTCTGTGTCTTTGCATCTTCCCATCTTTGCTTCTGCCGTCCCTGGCTTTCCCTTTGGCCCCAGCAGTCCCTGCTGGTCTCTATTCCTTGGTTTCTGGTTCTGTTTTTCTGCTTCTCTCCTTGTTCTCTGTATCTTTGTGTCCCATTCTCTTTCTGTGTCATTTTCTGGTTTGTGTCACTGCTTTGTCTACCTCTGTGTCTGGCTCAGCTCTTTTCTCTCTGTCTGTTCCGCTCCCCCCGCTTTTTTAAGCTGGGGCTGCCATCTAGGGCCCCTGCCTAGGGCCGCCTGCTGTCAGGCATTACTTCAGCTGCAGGGTCTCTCCCTGGGTCCCGTCACCCTGGTCTTTCCCGCCAGGTTCCTGCCTCTCAAGCAGGCTGAGCTGCTGCTGGCTGCCATTGGGGATGGCACCTCCTCCAGCCCATGCCTGGGTTCCCAGGCCTGTCTCGGGCAGGGCAGGAAAGGGCCTGTATAGGCTGATCCTCTTCCCAGCTGCCATCTCAGACCTTCTGTCGTCCTGAGCCATGCCAGGTGCCCGGCTGAGGCAGGCAAGCCCCAGGGCGCACTGTCACTCAAGGGCAGAGCTGGGCCAACACTGGGTGCCTGCTCACATCTAGTTTGGGAAAGAAAGTTCAGGCCGTCTAGGCTCTGGTTAACACTGACTCGTGAGCAGGGATTCCCTGTGTGTCACATTGCTTCAGAGGAGGGGGTCTTCATCTGAGCCATGGGACCCTGAGAGTTTCAATAAGGACTTTGCGGGGCTCAGAGCCTCCTGACATTGTAAAATTTGTATGAATGTGTATTTTGGGGAGGAGATGGCCTGGAGCTTTCACCCAATACCCAGAAGGACCCTTAACCCCACAAATGTTCAAGAGGGATTTGAGGCTCGCTGCTTTGGCCTCTAGACCATTCTTTCTCTTTTCATTGTGTCTCTGGGCCATTATCCACCCCCCACTCCAGCACCTCACTTCTGCCCTGATCAGGTGGCTATGTGTCCTAACCAAGCATGTTTGCTGTCCCCTGGTGGGACTTGGATATTCCTTTTACCCCCAGTGGGATTTCAGACTTGCACATTATATGAAATTAAGCATCTGGGGGCCAGGCGTGGTGGTTCACGCCTGCAATCCTACCACTTTGGGAGGCTGAGGTGGGCAGATTGCCTGAATCCAGGAGTTTGAGACCACCCTAGGCAACATGGTGAAACCCCATCTCTACTGAAATACAAAAAAATTTTCTGGGCATGGTGACGGGCACCTGTAGTCCCAGCTACTTGGAAGGCTGAGGCATGAGAATCACTCGAGTTCAGGAGGTGGAGGTTGCAGTAAGCAGAGATTGCACCACTGCACTCCAGCCTGGGTGACAGAGCAAGACTCTGTCCCCAAAAAAAGAGAGAAAGAAATTGAGCAGCCGGGCACGGCAGCTTATGTCTGTAATCTCAGCACTTTGGGAGGCTGAGGCAGGAGGATCACTTGATGCCAGGAGTTCAAGACCAGCCTGGGCAACATAGGGAGACCCCATCTCTACAAAAAAATACAAACATTAGCTGGGAATGGTGGTGCACACCTGTAGTGCCAGCTAGTGGGGAGGCTGAGGTGGGAGAATAGCTTAAGCCTGGGAGGTAGAGGCTGCAGTGAGCCATGATCACGCCACTTTACTCCAGCCTGGGTGACAGAGCAAGACCGTTCAAAATAAATTTAAAGAAAAGAAATTGAGGCTCAGGTAGAACTTAGGACCCATGAGAGACCCCATGTTCGATGGCGGGATTTAGGGAAGTGTCACAAAGGACTGAGCTGGCTTTTTCCAAGGCCAGCCTCAGGGGACCAGGTTTCTGTGGAGTCGCCAGAGGCAGAGCTTTCTCAGCAGAAAGTTTAGGCCCTCTCTTTGCATATTTGCTGAAGGGGGCCTTGGGATACTGTGCCTGTTGGCTCTCAGTGCATTTACATAACCTGTTTCCCATCACGTTCACATCTTCTCTTTGCCCCACAAAAAGGAATTTTCTGTGTTCTGTGCCAGATGGAGGTAGGCCTATACCTAGGTGTCTCCGCCCACTCTCATGGATACAGAGTGATTTTTTTCACCCAACCCTTCCCGTTTCACACACACTCCTCTTTGTGGCGTGTGGCAAATTTTACCAAGCCCTATCTTAGGGCAGCACAGAGTGTTAAGGAAAGGCCGGGTGTGGGGGCGCCCAGCTGGTTCTGCACATGCCTGCCCTCCAGCCCCCAAACCTGTATGACAGGTCCCTCAGCTGGGCCAACCCCCGCCCACCTCACTGGCTTCTTCATGAGAAGGTGAAACTTGGGTGTGTGTTGGGGGGGTGGCACATGAAAGAGGAGACCATCTGAAATGAAACTAGCAGGGAGGGGGAGGAGAAGGCAGGAGCTTCCCACCACCCCTCTTCCCATTCTCCCTGCTTTTCCTCTGCACGCTTCTCCCCAGCACTGCTTCTCACACAGACATCCTCCGGCATCCACTCCCCCTGATCCCAGCAGTTGGGAGTCAGAGGGGGCTGGAGCCCGGGTTGGGCCCTGCAGTGGGCTGTGGGCACAGGGGGCATTGACAGGGTTGCTGGCAGTCCTGGGTGAGGAAGCCCTCACAGATGTGGCAGGACGCCCCCTCCCTGTTTGACCAGTGACTGCTCCATTTCCTTCCTTGCCCCAGATATCTTCCCTTTACTTTCCCTCTCCTTTCATCTTTCTTTGAAGTTAAATTTCACACCTTACTCCTCCCCTGCCAAAACCTCCCCAGCCCCTTCTCCCTCAGCCTTCCCAGGGCCTCTTCCTGCTCCTCCCCTCCTCTTTTGGACAATTGGATTTTGAGGCTCTTCCCAAGCGAAGGGCTGTACTCCCAGGCCTGCTTGTTTCTCCAGTTCCTCACCTTCCCTCCCTTTCCTCTGCTGGGCTGGCCCAGTCTCCTGCCTTCACCTGGCCTGCTTTTTCACAGGTGTTCTTCCGGGCGGGTACCTTGGCACGGCTGGAGGAGCAGCGGGACGAACAAACCAGCAGGAACCTAACCCTTTTCCAAGCAGCCTGCCGGGGCTACCTGGCCCGCCAGCACTTCAAGAAGAGAAAGGTGCTGCTCTAGGGACATCCCCTCCCCCTGCAACCTAGATGGGCACGGCCAAGTTCCTGGGGTGGGGGCTATGAGGGGGAGAAGAGGCAGGAACCTCCCAGGCCACCATGTCCTGGGCCAGGGTGGGGAACAGGCAGCTCTCTGGTGCCAGCAAGTGTGCTGGTGTGCCCAGCAACGGGGCCTGGTTGGAGGGCTTTGTTGAGGGGTAGGGGAATCAGGGCCCAGGCAAAGGTGGGCTCTGGATCATAGGCTGCTCCATGAAGATTAAGGAGCTGTGTCAGCGACTCCTTTTCTTATTAGCAAGTCCATAAAACAGCCAGCACTGCCGCCTCTTGTGTTTCAGCAAGATTAGGTTTTATAGCACAGCTAGGCCAGGGTGCTGGAAATAATCAGGCAGCAAATAAAGCAGATGAAATTATTCCTAATGGCAGCGGAGCGGCTAGTGCCCAGCGCGGTGCTCCCAGGGCTGGGTTCTGTGCTGCCCACCCTCTGAGGGATGGAGGGAGCCTGGGGCAAGGGGGAGCATGGGAAATATCTGACTCGGGGTCAGGAGGCCAGAGGAGCAGCCCTGGGGGCCTGTGCTGATGGTGGGGAGGATCCTGGGCCGAGCTTGGCCAAGGTGACTGAGAACTGCACTGTGCGCCACCCCCACCCCACCTGCAGATCCAGGACCTGGCCATTCGCTGTGTTCAGAAGAACATCAAGAAGAACAAAGGGGTGAAGGACTGGCCCTGGTGGAAGCTCTTTACCACAGTGAGGCCCCTCATTGAAGTACAGCTGTCAGAGGAGCAGATCCGGAACAAAGACGTATGTGACAGCCTGGGAGGGCCAAGTCTCTGGGTGAGGGGAAGCCTTGCCGGTTTAGCTTGAACTTCCAAGCGCTTCTTCATTTAGTCCAGAGAGCTCACATCCTTGAAATGTGCCCAGCAAACAGAAGATGACCCTCTGGGGTGCTGGCTGAGCCCCTGGGCAGCCTCTTAACGATAAAATCTTGGGCATCTCTAGCTTATTGGGAAGGGTCTAGGGACAGGATTCCCAGGAGGCAGTGGCTCTGCTATTGGGGACATGCTTCCTCCCATGGTGTCCTGGCCCAAGCTTCATCAACTTCGTTCACTACAGGGGTGCAGACCCAGGGCCCCACCCCCTCGCAGTGCCTTTGGCTCACTTTGCCCTCTTTGGTCCACCCTAGGAGGAGATCCAGCAGCTGCGGAGCAAGCTCGAGAAGGTGGAGAAGGAGCGGAACGAGCTGCGGCTCAACAGTGACCGGCTGGAGAGCCGGGTGAGTGACTCCTGGCACCACACCAACTGGGCATGGCTGCAGGGAGACGCAGCCCCTGCAGGTCCCCCAGGTGTTCTGGCTGAGTGAGGCAGGCACTTCAATTGGTGGTGACTCCCTACCCCCAACCCCAGATCTCGGAGCTGACATCGGAGCTGACAGATGAGCGTAACACAGGAGAGTCTGCCTCCCAGCTGCTGGACGCGGAGACAGCAGAGAGGCTCCGGGCTGAGAAGGAGATGAAGGAATTGCAGGTGAGGGCAGGGCCTGGGTGAGAACAGCAGGCTGGTGACTGCCACACCATAGTGCCCACTGGCTCCCCCCAAAAACAGTTGGCGTCTTCACCCCTATCCCAGCATCCCTGTCTGCCCTGGGTAAGCATGTGAGCATGGTCTGTGTGGTTCGGGGAGTGGGTATGAGGGGACAGAATGGCATACCCTGAAACCCCGTCTTCTGCAGACCCAGTATGATGCACTGAAGAAGCAGATGGAGGTTATGGAAATGGAAGTGATGGAGGCCCGTCTCATCCGGGCAGCGGAGATCAACGGGGAAGTGGATGATGATGATGCAGGTGGGCCTGAGGCCCAAGCAGCTCAGCAGTGGCCTGCGATGCGAGCCCTGATGCCCACCCCTGGGTAGTCATGTCCCTTGTCCAGGCCTGTCTCCCCTCCATGAGCTAAAGTGAAAGAAACAGATGAGAAGGCAGAGGTGCCAATAAATGCAGGGGATTGTTAGGCAGAGCTGTAACAACCACGATCATGACAAAGACTGAGGGCCGTGGTCCCATCAGTCCCTGGGGGAGGCACAGCACATGTAGCCACATCTCTCGCTCTGGTCTTCTCCTGGCTAGTGGCTCCTTCTGCCTTGGGAGGAAGCCGTCATTACAGAGAGCTTTCTGAGCCCTGGCTGACTCCACCTGCTGCTCCCCCTGCCCCATCCTCCTTCCCCTCTGCCCCTTCTGGGGACTCTCAGCACCTCCATCCTCCCTTGTCTGCCTCAACCCCACAGGTGGCGAGTGGCGGCTGAAGTATGAGCGGGCTGTGCGGGAGGTGGACTTCACCAAGAAACGGCTCCAGCAGGAGTTTGAGGACAAGCTGGAGGTGGAGCAGCAGAACAAGAGGCAGCTGGAGCGGCGGGTGAGGCTGGGGAGGAGCCGAGGCCTGTGCTTGAGAGGACCAGGAGGGGAACTGGTGCCTTGTGTCCGTCCAGTGAAGGCTGGGGGCAGGCAGGCCTGGCCTGGGACAGATCAGGGAGGCTGGCATGTTAGCTTCTCGGTGCAGGGGCAATCAGGAGCAGGCTATCATTAGAGCTTCTTCAGTACCCTGGGAGACCCTACTTCCTCCCACATCCCTGGGTCTTCCCCTCACTTACCCACCTCCCTCTCCTCACCTTCTCCACCAATGCTTCCGGGCCTCTCTGTATATGCACCCCGTCTCGGCCCCTAGCTCGGGGACCTGCAGGCAGACAGTGAGGAGAGTCAGCGGGCTCTGCAGCAGCTCAAGAAGAAGTGCCAGCGGCTGACGGCTGAGCTGCAGGATACCAAGCTGCACCTGGAGGGCCAGCAGGTCCGCAACCACGAGCTGGAGAAGAAGCAGAGGAGGTAGGTGGGCCCCCTGCCCTGGGCCCAGAGAACCTTCTGGAGCAGCCACAGACAGGACTGCCTCCTCACCCTCCAGGGAAGAAAGAAGGAAGGACCTGAATTTGTCCAGGGCCCTTGCCTGCCTGGTCACTCATCTTGGAACGTGAAGAGGCCCCCTCTTGACCTCCAGGGTGGACTCGAGCTGTGTCCCCACTGAAGGCCTGCCCAGGCCTCTGCTTTCAGAGGTGCTCCCCGCATCACGTGCCTGTCACCCTGTGCCAGGCCCCATCAGGAAGGGCATCAACCAGGGCCCGTGCAGGAACCGCTATGTCCCTGCCCCCGGCCCCCAGCTCTGCCTCTCCCTCACTTGCCTCAGCTACACAAACACTCTCTCCTGACTAATGTCGTTAAACTACCGTGCCACTTCCATCTCATTATGGTAATGATACAAAGGAGGGGGGTGGCCCTCACAGGAGAAAATCCAATCTAAATTAATTTCCCGGGCTGGGAATGAGGATGGGACGCCTTCATTAGCAGTACTGAGGAACCCACACACCCTGGGAACAGCAGGGCGCCCTGGGGAGCAAGAACAGCACCCATTTCTCCTCTGCGGGGGAAGGGCTTCTCAGCAGAGGCACCGGTTGCCTTTGTGAAGAGGTATCCCCACACCCACGACCCTGGGAGTGAGGATGGCAGAGCCTTTCCAGTGACTCTGGGTTACCCCTGGCCTCCTGGACCCACCACCATCTCCCCAAATAGGGGAAATAGGAAGGTTTTCTATTCCTCCCACCTGACACCATGACCGCCACTTCCCTCGTTCTCATCTCTGCCCCCACCCTACCCCTTTACCCAAAGGCTGGCACCCTTAGCTCGACCCCCCTTCTGAGCACGCAATGACAATACCAGCTCGGCCTAGTTACCGTGCTGCTGTGCTCCCCGCTGGGCAACTTATTAGGTTTCAGCTGCCCGGAGTTTTCTTACTTTTTTTGATGTGGGGTTGGGGTAAGGGGAGCGTTCAACTTCCACAGGAACCTGATTAGCTATTCAGGGAAGGTGGTAAGAGGAATTTGAGCAATTTGCTGCATATTTAGCGGGAAATGGAAGACTGGGAAGTGGAGGAGTGAAGAACGAGGCCCCCTGTGTGCCCATTGAGGCATGTGGCCAGCTGGGCACAGTGGGAATGCCAGCTCTGAACCCAGTATGGGGTGTCCTGGTGGTGTCCTGCCAGCACTGCTGGGGTGCATGGTCCTGGCCAAAGCCTGGTGCCCAGAGGCAGGGACAAGGAGCCAGTTGTTGCCCTTACAGTTGCCAAACCGAACTGTGGAAAGTGAGTTAGTAGAAGCAGGGTGCTCATCTCTACCCTTTTCCCACCCCACCCTCACCTGGGTCTCTCATTCTTTGATGTGTTGAAATGGAAAATGTAGAGACTTAACTCCTGAGGGGCCTGTTAAGCAGGCTAGGGGTCCCTCTTAGGCCTACTTGGTGAAAGGGCTCGCCTGAGTGCTCCCTATCCCAGACCCAGTTGCTCAATAGGGCCTCAGTGGCCTGACCTGCCACCTCTAAATGTCACCCCTACCTTGCCACTGGCCCCACGTTAGGGCTGCATGGGTCCCCCCACCCCTGCTTGGGTCCTGTCCATGGCACCACCTCCTGACAATCTCTGTGTGGGGGACCCCGGCTCTTCCCCATCTGATAGAGCCGCCACGCTCCCTTGCAGGTTTGACAGTGAGCTCTCGCAGGCGCATGAGGAGGCCCAGCGGGAGAAGCTGCAGCGGGAGAAGCTGCAGCGGGAGAAGGACATGCTCCTTGCTGAGGCTTTCAGCCTGAAGCAGCAACTAGAGGTGGGTAGGGCCACCCACCGTCTGTGCCATGTCCCCCTCACAACCTGGGGTCAGCCCTGCACCAGCCTCATCTCTTTTGCTCCAGGAAAAAGACATGGATATTGCAGGGTTCACCCAGAAGGTTGTGTCACTAGAGGCAGAGCTCCAGGACATTTCTTCCCAAGAGTCCAAGGATGAGGCTTCTCTGGCCAAGGTCAAGAAACAGCTCCGGGACCTGGAGGCCAAAGTCAAGGATCAGGAAGAAGAGCTGGATGAGCAGGCAGGGACCATCCAGATGCTGGAGCAGGTACAGGAGAGCTTGGCCAAGGGAGGGGTGCCACCATCCCCACAGCCAGCCTCAGGCATGGGCCAGAGGATCCTGCCTCCATTCATTCATGTGTTCACTCACTCACCTACTCACAAAATGTGGAGTGAGCACCTGATCTGTGCCAGCCACAGTATAAAGATGCAGTCATGGAACTTTCCACAAAAACAAATCTGATGGAGCTCTAGTAGGGAAGGGCTCAGGATGCATGGCAGCTGAGGGCCACAGGCCCAACCAGCCTGCCACCAAGTCAGTTCAGGCAGCTGGAGCCTGCAGGCAGACGGAGAAGCTGCAGGACTGTCCCCACCCCAGCTACCTCTCTCTGGGCCTATGCCAGACCGCTAGCAAGGGAGTTCAGCTGCTCTGGAGAAGCTGCTGCCACGAGAGCAAGGTGCCAGCAAAGGGAACTGGCTGGTGGACATTCTCAGCCCATGAGCCTAGGGAGAGCCACACACAGGTGGGAAGGGGGTGGGCATTGCTGGGGAGGGAACCCAGACCCTACTCCAACCACCTCCAGGCCAAGCTGCGTCTGGAGATGGAGATGGAGCGAATGAGACAGACCCATTCTAAGGAGATGGAGAGTCGGGATGAGGAGGTGGAGGAGGCCCGGCAGTCGTGTCAGAAGAAGGTAAGGTATCTGAGTACTTACCTGTCTAGCGTAAACACCTTTTCCCATCGCCGCTTTAAAGTAAGGGGCTTTCTGCCTCCCTACCTCAGCCACATTGTCTTCCATTGTCATTCTGGGCCAGGAAGCGCCTGGAATCCTGGCATTGGCAGGGATGTATTGGCTCAAAGTCTATAGAGAAGCTTGAGCCCCTGAGGAACTAACGCTCCCTGCTTTCTGTGCCAGGGGCAGCCCCCTGTGCCCCTGCTGTGCTGCGCTGTACTGGTGCTATCTGCAGTCAGCCAGCCTGGCCAGATAGGTCTCCACTGTGCGGCGAGGTGTCCTATTCTGTCTTGGCTAGCCCCACCGCATGTGGCCTGCCGTCCCTCCTCGCCCTCCCAGGCTGCTTTGAAACCCTGGAAACCTGAAATTTAGGTTCTGACCCCTCCGCCAATATCACTGTGCTCAGGCCTGCCCCACTGTTTTCCCGGAGTGGGGAACCCAGAACCAAAGGGGCCTGCTTGGCACCAGGTACTAAAGGGATGGACGGGTCTCTGTCCCCATGGTATTCCAGTTAAAACAGATGGAGGTTCAGCTGGAGGAAGAGTATGAGGACAAGCAGAAGGTGCTGCGAGAGAAGCGGGAGCTGGAGGGCAAGCTCGCCACTCTCAGCGACCAGGTCAGGGGATGCTCCACCTGCCAAGCCTGGCCAGCTACCTGCCCATGCAGCCTGAGGAGTGGGGATCCTAGGGATGGGGAGCCGGGAACAGAGCTGTCAGGGGGATAGGGGTGCTGCAAAGAGCCCATCATCATCCCTCGATGGAGGCATCACCATACATTGGCACACCCAGCCCTTTACCACTGATTGGCATGATCCTGGCTCTTCCAGGATCCTTATGGGGACACTGATAATGAGGACGTGGTGAGGAGTGGGCTTGGGTAAGATAGGAGGAGGCCCTGTGTGGAGCCCAGAACCCCAACTGCTGGTGCCCACCCAGGTGAACCGGCGGGACTTTGAGTCAGAGAAGCGGCTGCGGAAGGACCTGAAGCGCACCAAGGCCCTGCTGGCGGATGCCCAACTCATGCTGGACCACCTGAAGAACAGCGCTCCCAGCAAGCGAGAGATCGCCCAGCTCAAGAACCAGGTATCCCCAGAGAGCACATGGCTGATCCAGGCACAACAGAGCTTACCTTTTCCATTCTCTTTCTCTCTCTCTCACTCCTCTCAGTGGCTCGTGAGTCCTTGGGAAGGAAAGTGACAGGATAGAGGGGAGAGCCACATGTAGCAGCTAGACTCCCCAGGCCCTGCGTGTGCCTTACTGTCTCACTGCCCAGCCCAGGGTGGTGTGGATGGGGCCTGGTGCCCACCAGCCCTGTCACAGGAGGAGATACCCACGCATGCAACACCACACAGCCATGGCCCTGGGGTCTGAAGTGAATGGAGGAGGAGAAGGAGGGCATCTGGGCTCACTCTTCCCTGTACAGCCCTCCTGCCCCCAGGGAATGACTGACATCTCTCTCTGGGGCGGGGGTGGTCTCTGTCCAGCTGGAGGAGTCAGAGTTCACCTGTGCGGCAGCCGTGAAAGCACGGAAAGCAATGGAGGTAGAGATCGAAGACCTGCACCTGCAGATTGATGACATCGCCAAAGCCAAGACAGTGGTGAGGGGCCAGGGTGCCCGGGGCAGAGCTCGGGGGGCTGAGGCAGAATAGAGCTGCCTCTGTGGCTCCCTTCACCCCAGACAGGTTCCTCCACGTCAGGACTTGTGACGGGTCCTTTCATGCCAGGACTTGCTGCAGGAAGAGCAGGCCCCCCTGCTCTGCGTCTCCCCACCCTGAGCAGAGGCCTCGGGGAGGAGCGGGCAGAAGAGGGAGCCAGCAAGGGCCCATCTCCCTGTGTAACCACCTGCCTGCGGGAGCTTGGCCGCAGGCCCCAACACCATAAATAAAGGCATCTAATGTGACTGAGGGACGTAAACAGGTGCCTAGAGATTAGCAGAAGCACCGATAAGAGGACAGGATGGCTTGGCTTCCCTCCCCTTCCCCCTGTCCAGCCCACTGACAAGCCCAAGCGGCAGCTAATTAGAGCTCTTATTTAATGCCTCCTTTTTAATTCCCCACCTCTCCCACAGCCCATCCATCAGCAGAGAATTCATTACTGGGATGTGGCCACCAATACCTCCTTGGGCAGGGCATGGGGCAGGGGAGGAGGCTGGGCTGGGCTAGTGGCTTCATGGCCCCTTAGCTAGTCACCTAGCTGCTGAGAGATGCCAATCTCACAGGCTTGATTTATCCCCATGACATTTGTGCTCCTCAGCAGTTTTCAGGTGAGTAATTCAAATTCCTTAATTGTGTTAAAAAAGGTTGTTATAAAATTACCATTTTATTTAAATCTGAGTTAATAAATTTCTTGGCGGAGGCTTCCCCAGCTCCCCACAGCCCAGTAACAAGATGGATGGGGCAGAGAAGGAGCCAACACAGTCATTGTGGTTTGGAATTACAGGCTAATAGATTCATTCATTTCCTGAAGCTGCTGTTGGATCTCTCTTCCCCTCCCCCAAGGAGGGGACTGGCTGTGGGGGCTGGATGCCCAGGGAGTGGGCAGTCCCAGGGGAAATGAGAGTCTAAGCCAGGAGACCTTCGCAGACTTGAGGGGTCCTTCCCTGGGGCCTGAAGGGGGCAGAGTACATGCAGGCAGGGCCTGGACTGATAGTGCCGGGATGATGGGTCATTTGTTCTGGGCAGACCTTTTCTGCCTTCTCATTAGCCTCAAAGGAGCTGCCAGGAAGCAGCTGTCATTCAGCTCAGAGGCCCGGGGTCTGCCTGTACTGCACACAGCCCTTTCCCTCATCTCCCTGGTCCGGAGCAGGACAGGCAGCTCCCTGAGCATCACTGGTCCTGGGACCCACCCCAGCGGGCAGACAGCCCATTATCATCTCTACAATGCCCCCACCATTGGAGGCAGCTGGAGCCCACAGACACACTGGGCCTGAGGCCCTCTGATCTGTCTTTGCCTCTGTCCAGCTGGAGGAGCAGCTGAGCCGCCTTCAGCGTGAGAAGAATGAAATCCAGAACCGGCTAGAGGAGGATCAGGAAGACATGAACGAATTGATGAAAAAGCACAAGGCTGCCGTGGCTCAGGTACCCCTGCCAGGAGTGCCCCTCACACTCCACACCATCATCCTTCTGGTCCTCCTCGTGGGTCCCCCATACAACCGCTTGTTTTGGGAGGTGATGGAGTGAGAACTTCGGTCCCCTGGTGTTCCAGCTGGGCTGGGCTGGCTGAATGTTTATGGGGGATCCTGCTTCTGATGCTCTCACCCCTTTCGCAGGCTTCCCGGGACCTGGCTCAGATAAATGATCTCCAAGCTCAGCTAGAAGAGGCCAACAAAGAGAAGCAGGAGCTGCAGGAGAAGGTGAGGACCAGGGGCTCCCCTGGGAGAGAGTGCCAGGATCACTACGTGTGGGAGGAACCCCCAAGTTCACAGTTTAGAAGGCACTTTTCTCTGCCATCAGTAATCCACAGAGCAATATAAACTAGGAGCAAGGGCTAGGCTTGGAGCCATGTTACCATAGCAGACATTTGGGCTTCCCCTGCCTCATTTCCCATCTCTATTCCCTCTCCAGTCCTTAGCTTTCTCCTTTCTCTCTGAAGGGCAAGATCTGTGCCAAGCGCTAGGGCAGATGGGAGAGGCCTCTGGCCCAGGGCTCCATTCTCTTTCCTCCCAGGTGCATCCCTCTCTACCTCTCCCGCCTTCTGGTCACCGTGGTGATATTGCCTGCCCCAGACGTATCCTCCTCACTTTCTGGGCTCAGTTCTTTCTTCTCTTCTTGCCCTCCACCTCTAGCTACAAGCCCTCCAGAGCCAGGTGGAGTTCCTGGAGCAGTCCATGGTGGACAAGTCCCTGGTGAGCAGGCAGGAAGCTAAGATACGGGAGCTGGAGACACGCCTGGAGTTTGAAAGGACGCAAGTGAAACGGCTGGAGGTGGGTTCCCGCTTCTCCCAGGTCGCACCGAACAGGGCAGAGCTGCGCCAGCACTGGAGCCGCGCATGCTCAGCAGGGCTGGGCAGCCCTCTGGACACTCCTCAGAGGCCTGTGCCTCGTTGCCAGGCCAGCTGACGGGCAGGTGCTTCTCTCCCGCCCCGCCTGGCCTGCTCTCTGGGTACCATGGAGCCCGCCTGCTTTACATTCTGTTTCCGTGCTTGCTTTCTGCCAAGGGACCAGAGCAGCTTAGCTCTTCGTCTTCATATTTTCCTCCACCACGAGCTCCCCCCCGCCTGTTCCCCTCAACCGGTTCTCTGGCAGGGTCATAAATATGCAGTGGATGGTGCCACTTCTGTGCAGGCTGGAGTCTGTTCTCTCATCTGCCCTCTCTCTCCTCCTCTCCCCTTCCCTGCTTCATTCCCTTTCTTCCTCACTTCTTCTGCCCTCCTGTCTCTGCTTTCTCTCTCTCTCTCTTCCTTTTCCTTGATTATGACCCTATTCTTCTCCCTTCTTTTTTCTTTTTTTTTTTATTTGAGACGGAGTCTCACTCTGTTGCCAGGCTGGAGTGCAGTGGTGCGATTTTGGCTCACTGCAACCTCCATCTCCCAAGTTCAAGCGATTCCCCTGCCTCAGCCTCCTGAGTAACTGGGACCACAGGCACGTGCATTTTTAAAATTGTATTTTAGTAGAGACAGGGTTTCACCATGTTGGCCAGGATGGTCTTTAACTCCTGACCTCATGATCTGCCCACCTCGGCCTCCCAAAGTGCTGGGATTACAGGCGTGAGATATTTTTTCCTCTCCCCAATCTTACTTCTCTTTCTTACCCTCTTCCCATCCCTTTCTCCTCTGCCGTTATTATAAAGTTCATTCTCTCTTCTTCTTCTTTTTTTTTTTTTTTTTTTTGAGATAGGGTCTTGCTCTGTTGCCCAGGCTATAGTGCAGTGACGCGATCATGGCTCACTGTAGCCTTGACCTCCTGGGCTCAAGCAATCCTCCCATCCTCCTGCCTCAGCCTCCTGTGTAGCTGGGACCACAGGCATGTGCCACTATGCCTGGCTAATTTCTGTATTTTTTGCAGAGACAGGGTTTTGCCTTGTTGCCCAGACTGGTCTCGAACTTCTGGGCTCAAGTAATCCGCCTGCCTCAGCCTCCCAAAGTGTTGGCATTGCAGGCATGAGCCACCACGCTGGACCAATCCTTTTTCTTTTGGTCTCCCAAAGCCAGTATGGGCCAGCGCCTTCCATCTCTGGCAGAGCAGATAGCAAGAGAGAGGCAGAAAGGATTATCTCCTGGGTTTACACTCCTCTCGCCTTATTTTTAAGTTCTCTTTGAGTTTATAAGCCTTTGTCTCCGCACCGTCAGTTCTGTCTGGGCCCTGTGTTGATAAGTGTGGTTGCTGAGGGGCAGCCCTGTCACCTCCTCCATCAACTCGCAGTCCATGGAGCAGGCACTTAGGTAGGGATAGAAACAGGTGGGCCTCTAGAGGGCATTAATAACCTGGACACAGGAAGAGAGCACAACTGACCCTCCCAAGACGGGGTCACAGTCCTCAGGAGAGCTGGAGAGAGTTAGGGGAAACTTAAGAATTTATTTTCTGCCCACCCCAACCCCAGGCTGGCTGATAATATTTTGATCCCCATTTTACATATAGGAAGGGTTATGTAGGTTGCCTAAGGTCACAAAACTATCAAGGGACAGAAGAGGCCATTAGTCTGGTGGACACAGGACAGGCCCAGAGGACTTATCTCCTTTTCTCTTGGGCCTAGTCCCTTCCCACACCTCTATCCCTCAGGTTCCCTTCTGCTCGGAGAGTTTTGTGGTTTAGACTCATAGGATGTTAAACACGAATGGCCCAATCCTGCAGCCTGGCTCTGTTATTTTAGGGACATAGAGGCTGGAGGCCCAGTCAGAGGTAGAACCAGGATCACAAGCAGATGCGGGGTTCTTCCTTCACATTCAGCCCCTCTCTCCAGGTCATTTTTTGCTCAGCATCCCACTGCCTGGCAGGAGATTCATTAGGCTTAGAGAGATGCTCTCTGCTTGGAATCTGATGATTGTTTAGTCTCTCCTAATCCAGAACTCCAGCAAAGCCATTTACCTCTGAGCACAGGATCTAGCTTTTGGGGCTTCTGGGTTCAGAGTCCCTGCGGGAAGCCCTGCTGACCTAAGAGGCCTCTACATGCAGTGTCAATACCGACAGGCCCACCAAGCTGTACCCAGAACACTCCTTCAGTCTTGGTGTAGTAATAATGATAATAGCACCTTTCATCTTTCAAAGTGCATTCACATTCATTACCTTATTCATCCTCAGAAGACCCCTGGGGAGTAGGTGTTATTCTCCCCCCATTTTACAGAAAAGCAAGGGAAGCCTCGGGATTGCTTGCCCAGGTAGCCAATGAATGGTGGAGCCAGAGCTTGACCCCAGGCCTCCTGACCCAGAGCTCTGCCACACCCTCCCTCTGCCTGACTGATGGGCCTACGTGCTGTGTCTTTCTTCCCCAACTGCCTGTCCAGAGCCTGGCAAGCCGGCTCAAGGAAAACATGGAGAAGCTTACTGAGGAGCGGGATCAGCGCATTGCAGCCGAGAACCGGGAGAAGGAACAGAACAAGCGGCTACAGAGGCAGCTCCGGGACACCAAGGAGGAGATGGGCGAGCTTGCCAGGAAGGAGGCCGAGGCCAGCCGCAAGAAGCACGAACTGGTAATGCCCTCCTGTCCAGGGCCCACATGGCAGCCCCCTGACGAGCTGTTGAGTGTGCGCCTCACTCTGGCCTGGTTGGGGATAGGGTGCAAAGAAACTGCACATGAGTCAGAGAATGAGAGGGAGGAGGAGCATACCAAGAGGGCAGACCAGGGAGCCAATGGCACTGGAGGCTTCCTCAGGTGAGGCTTGGCCCCCACAGCCCAGCAGCAGCAGAGCGGAAAAGGCTCTGGAAGCCTGTGTCAGCCCTTGGGTAGCGCCCCTATGACCGGGAAGGACTTGAAACAGGCTTTTTCTGGTCATCTGGGGAAGAAGCTAGCCCTCCTGCAAACTGGGCTGCCCCCTTCCTCCTAGGAGATGGATCTAGAAAGCCTGGAGGCTGCTAACCAGAGCCTGCAGGCTGACCTAAAGCTGGCATTCAAGCGCATCGGGGACCTGCAGGCCGCCATCGAGGATGAGATGGAGAGTGATGAGAATGAGGACCTCATCAACAGGTGAGAGGTGGCCTCTGGGGCATCTGCAGCCAGCACGGAGGCCCTCTTGACTGCCTCTGGAACCAGGCCACCAGGTAGAACAGTTGCATCCTCTGCCTCCCCATGAGCGAGCCACCAACCCACCCTCCCTTTACTGCCAGACCCCAGCACAGCCTGTCCTGCAGAGGCAGAGGGTGAGACAGGTGCACCCTGATTGAGGCCCCCCAGCCAGTCTCCCCTCCCCAGGACCAGGCCCTCCAGCTCTGCCCGCTCAAGATGAGTTATTCCCCTGTTTAGCTGCATTTCCGATGGTGCCTGCTCCCCTCTGGGGAGGGCAGAGATTTAAAGGCTGTGGTGCCTTGTTACTATGCCAGAGATTTTCTCATAAAACCCACCCAGGGAATGGTCTGGAGAGAAAGAGATTTGTAGTCTTAGGCGGAGGAGACAGTCACGAAGAAGGAAGGCCGGCAGTGTGGGGTGGCGCCAGGCCATGGAGAAGCTCCCAAGGCTGCCCTAGGCAGACCCTAGACCTGCCTGCTTCCCACCTCAGGGCTGGGGCCCATCCTGCAGGCAGGTCTGGGGCAGCGCAGGGAGCCTGCTGCTTTGGGGCAGGGGAGAGGTGCCAGGGGCAGCCCAGATCAGGTTTTGAGGACAGTGCTATCACGCAACCCCCACTACCTGGTCTCAGCCAGCCAGAGCTGGCTCTTGCTGAGGGAAGAGAGGTCCTTAGCTAAGGGGTCCACCTTGGGGTTGCCCATTGATTTCATCTGTTTCCCCTGGACCCCTTGCCCACCATCTTCCTTCTATTTCCAGTTTGCAGGACATGGTGACAAAGTATCAGAAAAGAAAGAATAAACTGTGAGGACTGGAGCGCATGTGCTCTCTGCCTGTCCTCGCGGGTGTCTAACCACCCCTAACACTGGCTCCCACCCCAGGGCCGCTGCACGCAGCATGTGGATACAGCCTCCCCACACTCCTGCCTCACTGTTCTCTAATGCTAACACACTGACTCTATCCTCAGGGGAGGCAGGGAGCGGGCAATGAGGTGTGCTCCCCAGAAGGCTGGGGATGGCCCGTGCACCCTTGGTGGGCAGGACTGGGGGCTCCTGCAGAAAGGAAAGTGCAGCCTATTCGAGAAGTTTACCTTCCTGAGCTCCAGCACTTTCCTCCCTTAAAAACCAAGTGTGGCCACCTCCCTGGCCTATTTCTCTGGGAGAAAAGTCTGTTTGGGCTGGCTCTGTCCACATCCTTGGGCTCCTTGGGAGCCTGAGCTGCCTGAAAGAAGCAGGCATGTTTCATCTTTAAAGGTCCACCACCTTCTCTTGGCAGACAAGGGTAGAAGGTGAGGGGTATCTCCCAGTTTCTTGTTTGGAGAAAGCATTCAGGCAGCTAATCATGGGCTGGTCGCCATGGCGGGGGAAGGGAACACAGCCAGATGTGTTTACTTTACTCCCTGCGGCACCGTGGGCAGAGGGAGGCCCCGGCGGGCGCTTGTGCTGATGCTGTCTGTCAGGTGGCGGGAAGCCCAGGAAATCCAGCCCTCTCTTTTCCCGCTATCTGGGTGGGAGCTGGACGGCAGATGCAGATGTGCAGGCCTTCAGGCAGAGCGGGGCTGATCCTCCATCAAGTTCGACAAGGTTGTTTTTCAGAGGTCGTTTTTTTAGCATGGCATTGGATTTCTTCCCCCACTCTCTCTTGCCTGGTGGGCCCCCTCCGCTGGCCAGGATGGGCTGGTGGCAGCGCACAGGACTCCGTGAGAGCTAATGATAAATGTAATAGTGTGTAACAGTGATAGAGGGCCGCTGGAGCCTGGTTGTCACACACAATTAATATCCCCCGCCATTCTGTCTCCGTTTGTTTGTTCCCCCGCGATTCGGCTCCCAGTTAACTAATAGCACATGAGCCCGGACATAAATTGCATTTGACGCAAAGTTTAATTCCGACCATTTAAAATTTCAACTGCCCCCTGAGCCTGCCTGCCCCTGGAGTTTGTTTACAGGCCTGATTATTTAAGGAAAAGACCATCTTCTAGATGCTTGCAACTAAAGGGAAGGCAAGGGCAGGCAGGCCAGCTTTGCAGCCCATCCACTGCTCTGAATGTGAGGAGGAAAATTCGTATTCTGAGCCCACAACTGTCTGTCCCCTGTGTGTTTCAACCCTGCCATCTTTGGGTGGTAAGAGCTTCAAGGGCTGATAAAATGCGCATTTAAGATCATATTCTAAACCACTGCGAGGCACGCATACACACAGGTACACTGCACACGCACACGCACACACACGCACACGCCAGTGTGCGCTCACGTAGACGCATGGGGACGTGCGGCTCTAACCAGGTTCCGGCTGATGGCAGAGAGGTGGTGTGGCTCCTTCCTCAGCAGCTCTGGGCCCCAGCTCCAAGTTATTGAGCCCAGCACACTAAGGCGGGCAGAAAAATAATGTTTCGATTTACTTAGAGATACAGTTGTTACTGCTATAACCTTAATGAAAGCAGTAAACAGCACAGTATTAAGGGAGATTTACACAGAAACGCTTTTAACATGTAGACATAGATTTTGCGATGCATACAGCACCTCCTTTCTAAAGGCAATCAATATGGTTATGAACGGTGGTGATAAATTATAGGCTCTGAAGCTAGAGAGGGAGGTTTTTTGCACGGGTGTATAAATCAGGTGGTATTGGCGTTCCATGGGGCCCATGCACCACAGTAAATCTGCCAGGCTCGGACAGGCACAGGGCTTGCATTAGCAGTTTCGAGGCTGTCTGCTAAACTCCTGTTTACCCGGGGCATCAGCCGGCCTCGTCTTTGTTATAATTCTGTATTTGAATGGAAGCCCATAAAATATGCCTCTTTATTCCCCTCTCCGTGAGTTGGACTCTCTCACGGTCCCCAGAACAGTCTGCTGGTTTCATATGTGTGTGTGTGTGTACACATGCCTGTGTGGCTATTTATTTAAGAACATAATTCAGGAATGGAGCCATTCCTGTTGACACAGAGGAAAGGAAATTTATATCAAGGAGAAAGCCTAGCCTATACATAGCAGGGCAACTTGGTGAGCAGACATTCTGCAGAATTTTAGAATCTATCTTAACTCAGAAGCTATCTCCAAGCCCAGCTGCTTCATGAAGGGAGGGCCATGACTCCAGCCTCAGAATTGGACTCCTCTGGGCTTTCTTGCAAGTGCTAAGGTCAGCTCTGCCAGATGAAGCTCTTGTGAGCAAGGGCTGGGGGCTACCTGAGGACGGAAGAGGAGACCTTGAGTGACAGGGCTCTGGTCTGGGACTTTCTGAGCCCAGCTGGGTCTCCAGAGACAATTTAGATACTGAAACTGTTGCTAGTCCCTCTGGAAATGCCGATGCCCCCCACCCCTTTTCCTTTGTTTCTTAAAAGCCAGAGAAGCCACAGGATGGATCTGCGATATGGCCTGTGCCTCCTTAACCTACAGCCCAGGTTGGTGCTGCCATCCGCTAAGGAGACCTCCAGGTTCAAGCTAACTCCAAATCCTATGAAGCCCTTCTCTTCTCCTGCTCTGTGGCTGGCAGCCCAGCTCTTGTAACAAAGGCATGGAAATTGACAGCAGCTATGGCCACAATCTGAAGAATGGCAGAAAAGAAACAGCAGAGTAGGCCTTAAGGAATCACTGAAGGACCCAGGGCTCCTCTTTTTAGCTCAGAGCCATTTAGCTGAAATTGATGAGTGGATGGTCTTTAAGTCATTCTCCTTGGATTGGTCAGCTAAACAGTGGCCTGTCACAGATAACTGGCTTGGGAGCTGCCTCCATGCTCCTCAGGGTCTTCTTGGTGGTTGTCACACAGTGTGGCTGCTGAGTGGGGACAGGCTCCTTGTGAATGGTGTGCTCTGTCTAACCTCTCTCGTTCGCCCCCTGACTCACTGACGCGCATGCTGCCCACATCCCCCCTGCCCAAGACACCCCCTGCACCCCCCTCTGCTCCCCTCGTGGGCAGCAGGTGCCCATCCCTTGCCTGGCCTTGCCTACCTTTCTGCTCCTCATCCCTACAGTGAGGGAGACTCGGATGTGGACTCGGAGCTGGAGGACCGGGTCGACGGGGTCAAGTCCTGGTTGTCAAAAAACAAGGGACCTTCCAAGGCAGCTTCTGATGATGGCAGCTTAAAGAGTTCCAGGTGAGCATATGGCCTTGAGCTGGGAGGAAAAGCCATCTCATGCCACAAGGAATGGACAAGTAGCGCCTGGATCTCATGAGGGCAGGCCTGCGTCTCTTGCCTGGCATTTGTGACTGCAGCCCGAGCATGCTCCTGGCATGTGCGTGGGCACAGGAAGAGGCTTAGTTTCTTCTTAGCCAGGCCTGTGTTGCCCTTATTTTTCCCAGGTAATGTTTTCCCATTAGGCTGCAAGCTTTGGTTTGGTGTAGGTTAAATGTCACCTTTGCTTATTCATTCAACAAATGTTGATCAAGCTTCCTGATAGTTCAGACCCTTGGAATCAAGACTGGGATGGGGCACAGGGGACTCTTGATCCCACAGCCCTGGCCAGCTCTGGATCTCTGACATCTTACCATGAATAACAGCAGAAGAGGCACCAGTTCCACTGATTCTTGACCCAGCTACAGGCACATTTCTGTCTTTTTCTGCCCATTCTCTCCTTCCTCTAATCTCTTCACTGCCCCCACTTCTTTCCTCCTAATACCCATCCACTGGGGGAATGTGCTCCCCTGTTTTCTAGCCAGTCATAGTCCTCTGATCATACAGACAGCTACCCCTGGAATCCAGAGCTTCCCCTTCCCCATCTCTTTCCTACTGGCCAGTGTGGCAGCAGGGAGAAAGAACAGCCCTCACCCGTACCCCCAACCACCCCCATAAAGCCATATCCCTGCTCCCCCCACAACAGAATCCCGACCCCCAACTCAAGCCCATCCTGATCCTCCAGGACACACCCTTCCCCATCCTCTCCCAGAGACAGCAGGTAGACTGGGTTGAAAAAGTAACGTCTCTCCCTCCCTTCTCCAGCTCCCCCAAGGCCCCTTCCCCAAGCCTGGCCCCTCACCAGAAGCACCCAGCAGCCCCCCCTAATTGGTTTAATGTATTCGGCCAAACAACGTTTTGTTATTGCAGATAATGCCGGCTTCCCCGCCCCACTGCTGTGGTTCACCACGGAGTGGCACGAGGCTCCAGGTAGTTGACAATGAAATAAATTGAACTAAACGTTTAGAGGGGGAAAAGTGATGAAATAGAACAATAGTCTAATTTACATGACATTCTCCATGAAGCTATTTTCACTGACGCAAATTATTTTGCTTCATTTCCTCCGACGCTCTCACCACCACTTTGCCAGGGCTGCTGCCGTTTTCTCCTCCTTTTGCCTCCCTCCCCCTGTGTCTTTATTCTCTGGGTTTAATGCTTGTTCCTCTCTCTCTCTCAACCTCCCTCTCTCCCTGCTGCCCTCATCCACGGCTGGTTCTCGCACCCTCCCTCGGAACGGCCCTCAACAGCCTCTCTAAGGAGGCCGCAGGGGTGGAGGAGAGGCCATCCTCGGTGGTGAGCTCCCTGAGCTATCGGAAGCGGCTCACCTTGAAGGACTCCATTGGGGGCACCGGGGATGCGGATTCGCTCTTCACCTCCCTCAGCGAGCGGGCGGCCTCCCCAGAGAGGCCCCCTAGGAAGGCCCGTGTGGGCCCCAGGGAGGAGCCAGGCCCGGGCAGGAAGTCCGAGGAGCCGGAGGAGTGTGGCTCTGTCCTCTCAGGGACTGGGGGGCGCGCGGGCCGGGGGCCGGAGAAGCGGTGGGGCTCCGACTTCAGCCGGGCCTCCACCGTCTCTGCACCCGTCAGCCGGGCCTCCTCAGCCACGCGGCGGGGCTCTGGCGAGGACAGGGCTGGCTCTTCCCTGAGTTTCTCGCTGTCGGGCTCGCCTGGTTCCCGCCGCAGCACCTCCCGGCTCGACAGCCTGACCAGGACGCTCAGCCCTTCCCTGAGCCGGGCCTCTGGCCTAGGCCGGGAGAGCCCTGATTCCCGCCTGTCCCTGGGCCGGAGCTGCCTAGAGGAATGGGACGACGGAGCCAGTGTGGCCCTGAGCGAGGCCTGCTCGCAGTACAGCCACCCGTCGCTGGCACGCAGTCTGTCGGTGCCACCCCGGCCACGCAGCTCTGCCTCGGCCATGGATGAGCCTCCCAGCTCCAGCGTCCGCTCCGTCAGCCGTCACCCCTACCTGGACCCAGACCTGGAGGCTGCCATCAACGAGGTCTTGAGCTACAAGCCTGTTCCATTCCAGCGGAGCAGCCTGGAGCCCGACTCCGAGGAGGATGACAGGAAGAGCATCCAAAGTGCCCGGAGCGCCCAACTGGACCCCCCGGAGCGAGCTGCCAGCATCCGCCGCTCCGCCTCTGCTGCTGATGTGTCCCGGTCCCGCAGCGGCCGGAAGAGCCGGAGCCGGCGAAGGAGCAGAAGGAGCAGCTCCAGCTCCAGCTCCAGCTCCGAAGCTTCCTCGGAGCACAAGAGGCGGAAGAAGGGGCGCTCTCGGAAGAGCAAGAAATCTAAGTCGAGAAGAAAGAGAACGGAGACGGAGTCTGAGTCCTCCTCGTCGTCATCTAGCGGCTCGACCGTCTCCAGCCACAGCCGCTCCAGTGTGAAGAAGGGCCCAGCTGCAGAAAGTGAAGAGACTGGGCAGACGCACCAGCTGTCGAGGAAGGAGGAAAAGAAGCGCAAGAAGGAGGTGGACAGCCTGATGATGCGGTACCTGTACCGGCCCGAGAGCGACTAGCGCAGTAGGTGGCACCCGGCCTGGGTTCAGCATGGCATGTCCCACCCGGTGTGAACTAACGTGCTCCCTGTCCCACAGGCCGCCACCTTAGGGCCCACGCGCATTCCTCTCGGGCATGCCTGGCCTCGGAGAGCCTCCTGGCTGCCTTGATGCAGGGGCCAGCCAAGCTGATCAGTCATCCTGAGCCCTGAGCCCCATCAGCCGAACTCGCTGGTGATGTCATAGCTCCCACTTACAAGACCCTGAACCAGGGACTGTCCTTAATACTTTCCACACTTTAGTCACTTATCCCTCACAGTAACTCCATAACAAAGGTCTGAGTAGCCCTGTTTCATAGAAGATGAAGCTGAGGCTTGGAGAGGTTAAGTCACTTGCCATGTGGTCACACACAGCTGGGAAGGGTTGTTGCCAGGGTCTGAATGGGGTCTGCCCAACTCCAACACTCTTGCCCTTACCTACTCCTCCACGCAGCCAGTGCAGAGCACATGGGCAACATGTTTACTGTGTGTGCCCAGCAGCACCCATTCAGGAGCTTTCGTTCATCGCCCCAGCAGGCTGGGGGCCAGGAAAGGTCCCAAACTGACACCGCAGCTGTGATTGGTGCACATCAGTGGCCCTAAGCTATTATTGGGCCTTTTGCTTAGCTCTCCCTCCCCCGCCCTGCCCCCTCAAAGCTACCTTCCTCTCTGGCATAGATCTCAAGCCTAGGAGTACAAGGCTCCCAGGGCTACAGCCCACACAGTGCCACACCCTACAGCAGACCCAGGAGATGCCTGGCTCTCTCCCCAGCCCTCCCACCAAAGGCCCACACATGGGCGTCACCTCGGTTCTACTCATCTTGTAAGGTTCTAATGAATAGAAATTAGCAGCTGCTGAGTGACAGCCCCCTCCTGGCTCCCCTGCCTCCCCCAGCTCTTCTCCCTGTGGGGAGGGAGATCTAGCAGTTAGGCCCTTTATGCCCACACCCCCACCGTGGAAGAAGGGCAGAGCCTGACTCATTGGAATCCCATTGTTGCCAGTTTCTCTGGTGGGTGGTGACATTTTAGATCACCCTGCTTATGTGAAGCTGTTTTCAGCATGATGCCCTCCCAGGGCAAGCTTGCTGCTTCCCAGGAGGTATGACCCCTGAGTGCAGCCCCCTGGGGCACAGACATTTGTCTCCCAGATGCATGAACTAACACACCTGTCGCATGCTTGTGCTGTGAGTAGCTGGACACCTAGGCTGACTTTGAATGGATTATACCAAAAGGGACTGATGTAAGGCCTTTTAAGGAATGGAGCAAGTGGAATGGCTCAGCCCTGCTCTGTCACTTCCCCCATGCAGCAGATGGTTACTGGGTGCTCCAGGAGGAACAGGAAGCATCTCTGTTGTACTAGGGAACCAGTGTTGGCTCCATAGTAAGACAAGAGTTGGCCGAGTGCGGTTGTTCACACCTGTAATCCCAGCACCTTGGGAGGCCGAGGCAGATGGATCACCTGAGGTCAGGAGTTGAGACCAGCCCGGCCAAGATGGTGAAATCCTGTCTCTACTAAAAATACAAAAATTAGCCGGGCGTGGTGGCGCACGCCTGTAGTCCCAGCTACTTGGGAGGCAGAGGCAGGAGATCGCTTGAACCCGGGAAGTTCAGAGGTTGCAATGAACCGAGATCGCACCACTGCACTCCAGCCTGGGCGACAGAGCGAGACTCCATCTCAAAAAAAAAAAAGACAAGGGTCAAAATATTTGATCAGGCATCTCAGCCTTCCTCTTAGCAGCCCTGCTAAGTGCCCTACACCCCTAGGGCAGGAAGTCAGCTGATGGACCTGGGAGAGAGGTTTGGAAAGCAAAGAGGGCCAGGCCTTTTTGCACACTGCGTCTCAACCCCCAGATGGACATGGGCCTAAAGCTGGGCCATCTCACACTGACTGGCAACTGGCAGATTTCAGACCCCAATGCCATCAGCCTACCATCACCCTTGACCCCACAACCAGCAAGAACAAAAAGACCAAAAGCCTGTTTCTTCCACCAGCCACGAGCACAGTTCCTCTTTTCCACCAGGAAAGCTGTAGTCGTTGTGACGCCCTGTATACCACCCCCTCCAAGGAGGATTGGATTCAGTGTTGGTAGAGTGGCACCAAGCCAGAACCTAGTCAACCAACACGGAGCCAGAGGGAGAAGGCCTGGGGAGGGAGAACCTCAGTGGCGCTCAGCATCAACTGGCTTTGGAGTGGGGGCATGGGATGGAGCAGTCTCTTAGCTTCCCATCTGTTGATGAGGACCAGCAAGAATTTACAACAGGAACGCAGCTTCCATAGCACATTCAAGGGAGGGGAGCTGCCGCTCTGGGCTTGCCTGGCGGGAATTAGCTTATGTACCAAATTGTTTGTGACAGCGCTGAGCAGGAGGCACTGGCTTGTGGGGAGGAAGGCTTTTTTAAACAATTTGGTTAAAATGTTCAAATTGTCAACCCTGACTCTTGCCCTGGAGAGGAGGGCAGCTGCCTGCTGTTGACTCCCTGATGGCTGGAGCAGTGGAAGCCACTAAGAATGGCTAACGATCACCCAAGCTACAGGCAAGGGCAATCTCATGTGTCCGCAGCCCAAGGCAGAGAGAGACATGGAGTTTACCACCTCCCCAGCAGCCTCTGCCACTGCCCAGTGTCTTGATGAAACAGTATGGAAACCTGGCTGTCATTTATCCAGGTGTCTGCCTACCTGGCACAGGAATGTGGGCTTGGGGAGTGGAACCCCCACCTTAAAAAGAGGTGAGGCAATGGAAAGGACCAGAGGGCCCTGATTCAGCAATTTACAGCACCTCGGAGCTCGCCAGCAGCCTCTCATTTGCATCTGGATTCTAGCCCTGGCATCTGTCTCACCCCCCTCCGCTCACAAAGTAACCCCACTGTCTTTCCACAAAGCCAGGCGCTCGTTAGCCTAACGGCAGACCATAGCCCTGAGTGCCCAGAAATTTTATGTAAAAAATGAGAACCAAACCAGGCTCCCACTAATTTAGAATTGAAACAACCCCAAAGCTAAAATAACCCCAATTTTTTTCTATGTTACACAGTCATCAGTGAGCTTTATAATTTTGTCCTCACTTTGATAGGTCTATACTTTGTCCTATCAAAGTAAGACTCATTTATGTTCAGTCTAGTTTGTGTTAAATGTGTTTTGTGCTATCCTGATTCCTTTAAAAATGGTAATTCATTCATGAGAAATACGATAAGTATTAACCAGACTGCCCCATTCCTGAACCATTTTGCATAATTGAACATGTATTCTATCAGCCTCTTCCTTTCCCCCAGGGATAGAGACCGACATCTCTTCATACAACCCCTGGGCTCTCGCCCAAGCCAGCAGGAGAATTCAGGTTTGGTCTTGTGTGTGTGTTTTTTTCCTCTCAGGTCATCCAATCGAGTGGCTGGCAGGGTGAAGTCGTCCAAAGTCTTTGAGGTCTAAGAGTCCCAGATTCAAGTTTACATACTGGCTGTGTGGCCTTGAGGAAGATCCTTTCATCTTTTTTTACTGGCTTCCTCGTAATATTTCATAGGGTTATTGTGAACAATAAGGTAGCCCATCTCACATGCCTAGGCCGTGTCTTACACAGAGGAGTGCTCAGTGACCAAATCTTGCCCTCTGCATCTCTCACTGCCACCTTGGGAAAAGCTAAGAAGAAGGTTCTTTCTGCAGAACCTTGACTCCTCCTCTTTTGGTTTGGGGTTAGAACTTTAAAAAGGCTAGTAAACAAAGGGCCTTTTCGCTTCTTAAGTCAGAATTATAGGCAGCAGGGAACATGGAACTCCTGCTTGCCCAAGTTGGAACCCTAGGATCTGGAGGCAGGGCTGCAGCTCCAGGGACCACGCTCAGTGTGGGGCACCAGTAGGAGAGGAGCCACACTGGGCTGTGTTTTCTCCAGTGGTGTTGAAACGAGAGTGCACTTGAACCGACAGAGGCAGTGGAGGCAGGAGGAGTAGGGAAAGGTGGTCCCAAGGCTTTGGGAGAAAAGAGAAGGTGAATGGAGCTGTGAGATGAGGTCCCCTCTTCCCTGTTCAGTGCCATGATCCTGCTCCATCCGGGGGAAGAGGCCTCCTCACATCCGGGATAGCTGGAAGCCTCCAGAGCCAGTGGCCTGATGAAGACTCTGAGTTATGTTATTGTACCAAGAAAGGGGCTTTTCCCCTTGGGCCACCCTAAAACAGGTCTTCCCAGCCTCTCTTTCCTGAGCCTCCATTTCTTGTTAGTAGATGATGGCATGGTCAAAGGTAAAAATCCTCACAGGCCTCAGGGGAAAGGGTTCAGATCCGGGAGTATTTGACGGGGAAAGGGCCTCCTCCTCAGAAGGAATCTTTTTAGGAATTACTCGCCTAAGAGAGTCCCTACCCTAGACAAGTTGCAATCACCAGACCTCCAGTCTCCAGGCCAATGTGGTTCATGGACTGCCTGCTTCAGAGCCTTCTGGGGAAGGACTGAAAATGCAGAATTCCTGGGTTGTACCCAGGAGCCAGCGATTCAAGGTTTCTAAGAGGAAAGGCCCAGCAGCCTGCATCAGATTCTTATGCACGCTTGAGTCCGAGACTCACTGCTCTCAGCATCCCTTTCCTCGGAGCTTTAAAAGCTTCCAGAGTCGCCTTCCTCTTACCGCTTTGAGTATCTTCCAAGTAAGCCAAGGAAGGTTTTTACTTCACAATGTTTGGCTTTTGGGGAGTGCTCTGACGCAGCTTTGTGGGCCTCCAGAACCAAAGGCGTGAGTGCTTAATGGGGGAGTGTCATTTGTCCCTAACCTTATTCCTCTGTCCCTGCAGCCCCACCAGCTACTGGAAGTCCCTTGCCCCTGACCGGTCAGATGATGAGCACGACCCTCTCGACAACACCTCCAGACCCCGATACTCCCACAGCTATCTGAGTGACAGCGACACAGAGGCCAAGCTGATGGAGACTAACAAATAGCCCAGGGGAGTAGTTCGCAGCCCTTTCACCCCACGGCCTGTGGCTGCCTGGGCACCACTCCCAGGAAGTGGTGGGGCGCCGGTCTCCCCCACCCGACTGCTGATCTGCATGGGAAACACCCTGACCTCCTTCTGTCAGGGGGACTTTCCAGGCTATGGGTGTCTGATGTCTCCACGTGGAAGAGGTGGGGGAAAGAGGAGTTTCTGAAGAGAACTTTTTGCTCCTCTCTGCCTCAAAATGCCAGATTCTTGGCTTCTACCCTGGGCCACCGTGGACAATGGCAGGTGGCCTGGCACTGCATGGCGCCAGCACATTGACCTCCCTCTCAGCTCCCTGCTCAGGGACGGTGGACAGGTTGCCTACTGGGACACTCTAGGTTGCTGGGTCCATGGGGAGGATTGGGGGAGGAGCAGCAATGCCTTCCCTCTCGTGTGGGGTGGGGGCTCTCTTCTTGGTGCCTGCTGTCTTTCTACTTTTTAATTTAAATACCCAACCTCTCCATCACAGCTGCATCCCTGAGAGTGGGAGGGGGCTGCAGGGGTAGCTGGGGCTCCCAAGAATGACTCGGGAATGTCATCTCCATCTTCACCCTTGAGAGAGCAGTCCTTTCTCTGTGCAGCTGGAGACATTGGTGAGCAGAGCCGGGTCTAGGTTCTTACGAATGAGTTTGGGAGGGGCTCTCCGGTACTGCTGGGCTGGGTTGAGCAAGCCTATACAGACAAGTGTGCGTGTGGACCATCCACACCTCCGGCCCCCACCCCACCCTCTTCGTCTCAGCGTGTTATGTGCAATGACCTATTTAAGATAAACCCATTCCAACTACAGCAGTTCAGGGCTGATCCAAGCACTGCCTCCCTCCTGCTCTGTCCAGGTAGCCTGGACCATAAACTCAACTTGAGAGGGAAGACTTGGGGTTGAGGGCTTGTCATCAGAAAAACTGAAGATGGAAGTTTTGGCCATTAGACATGAGTCTTCACTCTGTGTTCTGAGCCCATGTCATTCTTCTTCTTCCAACCTCCCTGCCCCCACACACTCACCCCAGACACAACACCATATGGTCTGGAGGTCCCAGCCCCCACCCTAAAAAGGTTATCCCTAACAACTCCACCAGACTTGGGAGCCCAAGGGCAGTGCCTGGTGCTGCTCCCATCTGCCACCCCTCTTCTCTCCTGCAATTGGTTTGTACTCACTGGGCTGTGCTCTCCCCTGTTTACCCGATGTATGGAAATAAAGGCCCTTTTCCTCCTGGCTTCGCCGGTTTTCCTGCCTGCTCCTTCAGGCTCAGGTAAAGTCCAGATTGGTCCTGGGGGCGAGTGGGCAGAGGTGGGATTCTGATGGGGACTGTGAGGGCATCACTCTGGTCTCTGGCCTGCTCCCCAAAGTGTCAGACCAGTGCCAGTTAAAGAGCTTGGGCAGCTCATTTTGGGGCAGGGAGAGGTAGTGGGATGAGGGGATTGGCCAAGGAAGACACAAGCCCCACCTTTTATGTGAAGAGCCTAGGGACTGTGATTCAGGTTAGCAAGGGTAGCAGAGCCTCCAAGCCTCATCCTCCCTGGCCTCCACAAGGGAATGTTGAGGTCCCTCTGATTGTTAAATCTCACCAATTACAGAGATTCTATCTTCTCTTCCTCTCTCTCTCTCCTTCTTTCTTTTTTTTCTTTCTTTTCTTTCGCTTTCATTCGTTCGTTCATTCTTTTTCTTTCTTTTTGGATTCAAGCCCTTCTCATTAGAACATTTTTTAAAAGCTTAATTTTAGCCATTTCAAAGGTGACTTTTTGATCAAAACTTGGCAGAACTAGCTCAGGCCCACAGGGCAACGTGAGTAGGTTGGGAGTGCTGTCTCTGCCCTGCTCAGTTCCTATCTTCATGCCCCTCTCCGTGCTTTGTTCCTTCATTGACAGCTAAGAGGCAGCTCATGCAGAAAGGCAAGAAACAAACGACACCCCTCCTCCTATTCTACCTTCTACCTTCTCATTCTGTAATGTGGCCAGTTATAATCCCTGAATGAATAAAGTAGTTTGGACAGATCGGTGGGAAAAGATAGCAAACAGCCCAAGTGCCGAGGCTCTGGTAATGTCAGCCCTCCAGAAAGAGTCCAAAAGGGAAGAAGGGAGAAAAGTCTCCCCCAAAATGAATGGGACAGAGTGTGAAGTGGATCCGTCTTGAATGGAGACTGCCCCCTCCACTGCCCCACGATAGAATAGAGAAGAGGATAGAGACAATAGTAAAAGGGAAGTTACTTTTTTTTCTTCTGGAGACAGAGTCTTGCTATGTCGCCCAAGCTTGAGTGTAGTGGCGCAATCTCAGCTCACTGCAACCTCCACCTCCCGAGGTTCAAGCGATTCTCCTGCCTCAGCCCCCCGAGTAGCTGGGACTTAACAGACGTACCACCACGCCCAGCTAATTTTTGTATTTTTAATAGAGACGTTGGGCACCATGTTGGGCAGGCTGGTCTCGAACTCCTGACCTCAGGTGATCTGCCTGCCTCGCCTCCCAAAGTGCTAGGATTACAGGCGTGAGCCACTGTGCCTGGCCTAAGTTACTTTTTTTTTTTACAAAAAAATAATTTTAAAAAGGCTGCTAGCTTATGTTCAGTTCTGTCACTCTCATCTTTTATTCCTGTTTTCACATAGCGTGGTACATTTTCTGTTTCTACTAGGAACTAGTGTGACAAACTCCCTGCCACCTTTAGATGAATGCCCAAATCTGTTCGCTCATACTGAGTCAAGCCTCTGGTTAACTGGAAACTCCAACATCAACCTCCAATAACCCGGCCTGGGGTAAAAAGCTTTGTTCAAGTCAGAAAACATATTCATTTGCTTAACAGTTGAGAAATATTTCATGACTGCCTGCTGTGCCTAGGCCCTATTTTGGGTGCTGGTGATGGGTAAGGTCCCTTCCTTCATAAAGTGGAGGGAGGTAGACACAAAATACATGCTGCACCTGCTAGTATGTGTAAGCTTGGAGTAGGTAGAGAGGAACACATCATAGTATCCATCCTCCGGGGATTTGTGGATGAGGGCTGGAGCAGACCCATGTGGAAATAATTACATAAGGCCTAACAAGGACAAAGAAGTTGCTTTGGACTTATTATGGAGGGAGATACTCTCTCTGGCGGGGAGAATTGGGAAAGCCTCTAAAAGGAGCTGCTATTTTGATAGGGACTTGAAAATAGCACTTCCACAGGTAGAGTTGCTGGGAAAGGCATATTGAGAAGAAGAAGAGTTTAAGCAAAGGTCCCGGGGCAAAAGAGAGGTGGTGGTAGAACATGCCACAGGCTGGCTGTGCATTGTCACATGACCAGTGCTTCTCCAAGTTTCAGCTGAGAAGGAGACAATTCCCTTGGCCCCAGAGGAGTCCAGGAGCCTTTAGGGCCACCAAAGCCAATGTTTATTTTGGGTGTACCTTGAAAGCTCTGCTGTTGACCTTACCTGTATGTTCATGGTATCCGTAGTCCTTAAGATGTTGCAGAATGCAAATCTGGCCCTTTGCCAGGCTCAAAGCCAGCCTGCTAGATCCTCCTCTATAACTGCAGATCCCCGGGATTGCTCTGACTCCTGAATGAGAGGCAGGGGCGGGAACCAGTGCCCCTGTGGGACTCCCCATGGTGCCCAGTCTGTGCCCATAAACAACAGTGGCAGGCGGTGACCCCTAAATGGTCTTCTTTTGTCTTTGTGTCTCCTTGGCAGATTATCCCAGTTGTCCTTCCCCCATCCTCCACCCCCTTGCCTGGTGGCACAGACACTTAGCGATTTGCTCCTTAATTGTCCCCCAGCTAGGCTGCGCAGATGCTGCTCTTTAATCTCTCCTGATAAATGAATCGCACCGCTCCTTTAATCATATGTTCATATCCAAGCCAATTTGAATCAATTTGGCAGGGAGCGTGTTGCAAGAGATGCCATGACTGCTGTTTCTCCCCCAGGGCCCTGGAGCCAGAGCGGCTGCTGTCCTTACCCTCAGCAAAGAGCCCAGGAGGCCCATCCAGGGAAAGGATCACCTACCTGAATAGTGGGGACTTTTCAAAGTCATTTAATTCGTTCCTGACCTCCAAGCAGGCCATGTGGGACTGGAGGGAGATGGATTCCCAAAGGCCTCAGAAGTGGGAGGGGGATCAGTTCCTTGCCTGCCTTGGTCACTGAATAAAGGGCCCCATTATCATCCCTGGGAGAAAGTACTGCCTTAAATCTAACCCTAATCTCTTCTGTTCCCTGTTCATTTCCACTGCACCGGATCTCTGGGAAGCTGGAACACTTCATCACCTTTTTTATAACAACACATTCCAGACAAGTCTATGGTAATTTGTCCTTGCTTGCTTCTACTGGCGGCCACCCCGACTCCTTCCATCTTTCCCTAGGACATATTTTCTAAAACCTCCAGCCTGGTGGGCAGTCCAACACGTTTGGTAATGTACCAAGCTCTTCTGCCTTTGAGGCTGCTGGCTTTTCACCTCCAGAGTGGTGCCCATGTGCAGTAGGGAAAACAAAGCAAAAATAGACAAAACCTGCCAAACTGAGTTCTGCTTCTAGCACTGCGACCTTGGAGAAGGGGCTTAACCTGTCAGGCCTCAGTTTCCCCAACTGTGAAACAAGGTAGTACTGCTGGCAAGAAACTTCTGGCTTCTAAATTCAGAGCTCCTTACCGCAGCCAAAAGAATCTCCCACGCCCTCCCCCTTCATCCCGCTAGTGAGGAACTGGAGGGACTGATGGGTGGTGCCAGTGGGGCTTCGAGATCCGGGTGCTGTGGAAGAAACGTCGCACATTCTCCATCGGGAGTTAGTTTCCATTCAGCCACTCGGTTGAATCTCAAGGTCCTCTCATTTCCTCTTCCCTAGTCCGCTCTGCCAGTCCAGGCGGTGCCCGATCATTCACTGGGAAACCGAACGCTCATTAGCATATTCATAGATATTTGCATATCCCCTGTTCTTTGGCGTGCGTAGCCCTCTGGTCCCGCCCCTGCCTGGAGGGTCTTTACGCACTTCCCAGAAGCCACGCCCCTTAAAAGGGCAATGGGTTTTCAAGCCCCTGACGGGCCGCCCATCTGCATTGCCCTTTTAATGATTACAGCGGCATTAGGACCGGTCTACTCTCCCAGCAACCCAGAAATACTGTTTCCCGCCACTTGGAAGTCTTCGGCCTGAGCTGAGGCCCAGGGCCAGTGACTGGGACTGAGAGGCCCCTTCCTACCCTGTCAGTGGTGAGAGGAGGGTTATAAGACCAACAATTGGCGGGGCGTGGTGGCTCACGCCTGTAATCCCAGCACTTTTAAGAGGCAGAGGCGGGTGGATCACCTGAGGTCAGGAGCTCGAGACCAGCCTGGCCAACATGGTGAAACCCCGTCTCAACTAAAAAAAAATACAAAAATTAGCCGGGCGTGGTGGCAGGCACCTGTAATCCGAGCTACTTGGGGGGCCGAGGCAGGAGAGTGGCTTGAACCCGGGAGGCAGAGATTGCAGTGAGCCAAGATCATGCCATTGCACTCTGGCCTGGGGGACAAGAGCAAGACTTAGTCTCAAAAAAAAAAAAAAAAAGGTCAAAAACAGTTCCCATTTGTTGAGCACTTACTATGATGGCCCCAGCGCTTATGCACTTTGCCCTACAAAATTTCATTTCACCTCCATCACAACTCTGTGACGACGTCATCCTGGAGAGAAAACTGAGTCTGAGGGGTGATGTCATCTTCCTAAGCAGAGTCCTCAACTTGCTTCCAGCAGCTGGCCAAGCGTCTCCTAACTATTCTGGCCTTGGCAGAGGATGCAGTGAGAGGCAAGAAAGCAAAGAATCACTGCCGTAGTCCTCATCTCAAATCGCGTGTGCTTGGCATTCGCCAAGGCCTGGCCTCAGAAAGGAAACGCTTTTTGGCAATTTGGGGGGAAAATATCTACTTCACATTTGCGTCGCTCTTCACAATTTTCAGAGCATCCCCCATACATTATCACATTTTCACTTCACTCCCACTGTGCCAGCAATATGAAAAACAGTTCCACATCGCTCAGAATGCATATTTTAAGCTATATTCACTTCAGTCTAATTTCATTACAGTACAACAACAATCCAGACCATTCCCTGCTATTTGATCTGGGAGGAAAGATTTCCAGAGCAGTAGCCATTTTGGAGTTAACAAGGATGCTGGATGTGTTTAGAAGGAATTTGTACAGAGAAATTGAGTCTTCTGTAGTGTGAGCCCCAGTGATGGATCATATACATAAGGGAAATTCCAAAAAGAGTGTGTGCTTTGTGACTGAAGTCAG